TAGCGGGCTTTAAGAACCTTGATCGCGGGCCACCTCAAGTCCGAAAGTCCATTCTACAAATCCTTGCACATCTAACCAGCAAGCCCCAAAACCTTAAACTCTAAACTCCAAACCTCATGAAACTCTTGCGCAGATACACTCCCCACGGCAGCAAGATGATTGGGCGGAGAGCTCAGGGGCGGTACCTCGCCCTGGAAGACACGAGGACCAGGGCGCAAGGGTTCTGACAAGGTTTAGCAGAGGACGGGGTACTATAAGGACTTGAACAGTTCCTTAGTTGCTTCTTATTCCTCTTTAGGTTTCCGAGAATGAGATGCTTTTGGTTCCAGGGTTCTAGCGAGGATGTTCTACATGCGGGAGACTCTGAGCCTGAAATTTCAAGCGGGCTTAGGCTTGCCGTCTACCCTAAGGCCCCAAAGTAGTTCCTTTTGGGTAATTACATTTCAATCAATCGGTCCGAATCGCAGAAACCCGATGGAGACTCCCCTTCGTCACAGCCCAAAGAACTTGCGTGTTTAAACTATATAAGCACATGTCACGCGGAAAGTCATATTGAGAGCACTGAGATGAAGGCATTTTTGGGGATTCCAAAGCCCCATGGTCACTTCGGGTTTTGGAATCCTTTCTTGCCCGAACTTCTCCCGAGCTCAGGTTTTGGGGTTTTATGGTTTCGGCTTTGGGGTTAGTGCAGCGCTTCGGAAGCGGGTAGCTATGATTCGCAGTCTCTAGGCCCCAGGGCTTGTAACCACAGAATAGAAAGTGATGCCTGCTTGTGTCGTGTGGCAGCCTCGGTGATCGATCCGATGCCTGCGATGCCAGAGGCTGAACGAAGAGTTTAGCATGTAGCAGAACTCCTCAACTGTAAGTTCTGCAACGCCTGAAGCCCATGTGCATGAGCGCCACAGGTATGAATTTTCATCCGGAAACCAAAAGCCTAGCTTCTCAAGACACTAGCCGCTCTAGCCCGCAAGCTTTGTCTCATCTGTTTCAGGTGAAGTCGGAGTAAACTCGCGAATTATAAGTTTACAAATTGAGGCCTCGGTCTAAAGCCCCAAAAGCCCTGAAGCTAAGCACCGGTAAGCCCGAAACCCTGAAGCCTTCTGTACAACCACCCTGCAACCCACGCCGTATCGCTGAATCCAGTGGCCTCCGTCACCTGTTTCAATAAAGAGGTTTGACTAATCAGTTATAAGCCCTACACAATATACCACAACACCCGTGATCCACCCTACATGGTCATAACATACCGCAACAGCCTCGTCTGAGTAGTAAGAACCGGCCTCCCCGCCGTTCCAATGGGCTGCCATGCGCGCCGGTGGTTGGGATGGTCTTTTGGGCAGCTGCGGGCTGCGCGACTTGCAGGCTTGGGGCTTTATCGCTTGAGAGCTTCGGGCCATAAAAGCCTTAAGGGCGTTGGGGGGCGTTCCAGGGTGCAAAGGCTGTTGGATCTTACCGCTTTGGTGTTTCAGGGGTTTGAGCTACAAAGGTCTAAGGCCTTAAAGCCTGGCAATAAGTCAGCCTAGCGCAACCCCCCAAAACCTACAGAATGGTACGTGATGACATTGATCCTTCTGGGGGAGCTTCTGGGGTTCTGATCCCTCAACTCCTTTAGGGCTCATACTTCCCTGAATTATTCAATTGGGTTGGGCTTCCGTGCGCTGGACACTGGTCAGAATCTAGGACCTAAGATCTGAAGTTTCGGGTTCAGGTGTTGCAGGCTTGTGAGCATGGGTGCAGCCATTGGATCCTAACCCCTGAACTCTCATCATCTAGGTAGGCTTTTGGGGCTTTTTGTGTTTCCCTTCCTGGGCCTAAGGGGATCTTCTTCAAGGGCTTCAAAGCGCCAACCCAGTGATCCATAAACCCTGACATTTCCTTCAAAACGACACACACACACACACAAACACACACATGCAGCCTTGACGACAGGAGCTTCACACGCAGCTCCTATGGATGTGCCTTGGTGATAGCGCCACATATCTTGGTTTGAAGGTGGGCATATCAATAAATATGGATTCACATATTCCCTTGTTTAGTTTGTTTATTCAGTTTTACATTCATAAGTAATCATGGTTGAATATGGTTGAGTTTACTCGACAACCGTACTCTGTTTAAGCAGTATAAACTCTAGTTTCCCGCCTGTCTTGATCCAAGGATTGCCAGGAAGCATGGTGTCCCGCAGGCGATGAGCAACCGGGCCCTCAATTGGGGGTCTTGAGTAAGTATTTGCTGAGTATTCCTACCCTGCTGGGTGCAATCTGAACAAACCACAAATTTTCACCCGGTGCTTAAGTATGGTTGCCACAGACAACACTTTAACCAGCTCTACCAGGAGTCATGCACATGTATGTTTGAGAATGAAAGACGATCGAAAAATACCGACTGGAAGTTCACCGTTGCTGATACATGCTCGGCTACTTCCCAAAAGCCTTAGTCGCAGCCTCTAGCCGTCAGCCCCACCTCTATCCCCACAGACACTCAGTCTCTGTGCCGTAGAACCCTCAGGCCTCACCATTCAACAGTGGGCCTAATCACCTAAGCCCAGAGCCTTGAACCCCTAAATCCTAAACTGCAGGGGCCTAATACGTAGAACCCGAGGCCGGGAAGCCCAAGCCCCAAGCCCGAGACAAGAAATCTTGGAATTCCAAGGCATCGTGGGCGCAAGCCTTCAATGGCTCGCGACACTACCTCCAGGCAGTGGAGGCAGAAAGGGCTGCTAGAGAAGAGTTAAAAATTAGGTTCGCGGTTTGCGGGTGTGAGGATCATTAGAAGGGCGATGTCAAGTGTTCAGTGTGTGAAGTGCTCTATACGTCTGCTGGGTCAGGACCGGAGGTCCATGTGCAGCCACTGCCGCGGCAGCGCATGGATCCGCGCCAGCGGTGGAGGCAGGCTGCCTTGAAGGCCCAGATGCTTACCTGTGTATATGTATACTTACATCTCCGCCTGTAGGGACATTGAACCCCGTGCCCTAAAACTTAGGGATCATGAGAATGGCGCCCTAAACCCTACTTCACCCTAAACTAAAGACTATAAGTCTAACGTCTTCGGGGTCAGTGTTCCCCTAATTAAACATTACAGTGTAAAAAAGGAAAATTCCCTAAACACTAAACCCCAAATTCCTTAAATTCCCTAAACCCTAAACTCCCTGAACCCTAAACTCCCTATACCTCAAACCCTAAGCCCGAAGCTGCCCCACGCCAACCTGGACAGGCCCTGCAGCTTCCCGACCCGTGGCAATCCTACAGCTTGCCTTTTGGCCCGTACTTAAGGTCATAGGGATCCTTAGGGGTGTAGGGGGGAAGGGTGTAGGGGACTATATTTCCTTAAATAGGCCTTATATTAGTCCTTATTATGGGCCTTAAGGCCCCCTACCCCCCCTCCCCCTACACCCCTAAGGATCCCTATGATAAGGGTTTCCCAGCACACTTCACCAGAGCGCTTATGGTCCTTGTCTAGGTCGGGTGCGTAAGGCATACGAAGTTTGGGGGCGTCCAGGTTCAGGATTCAAGGTTGGGGGTCCAATTGTTTATTGTGGACTGAGGTTTCAAGTCTTTCCATTTGGCCAGGTGTGATTTTAGAGGAGACCCCCTGAAAACCGCGTGGCACCCTGGTAAGAAGTCTCCCCAAAATGAGCCCCTGCAGCAAGGTGAAGGCGTTTTGTTTCAGGGCTTAGACTTATTCGAGTACTACTTCCCGAAGCCTGAGACCCTAAACCCCCAAAGCCAGAAAGCCAATAGGCCCCAAGCCCTATACCCTAAAACCCTAAACCCCTGAACCCAATACCAAAAGCTGAAAAGTCCGACAATGCTTTTACCTTTCGACGCAATTGCGTGTTGTTCTGAAGGTCCTGTACATTCGGGGACCATGGGGAGCCACTACGCATCTTTAATCACATCAGCAACGGAAATACACTTCTTTCACAGGGCATCCTGGCCAACATGGGTACTTGTTTTATGATGTAGGAACCTGATTGAGAAACCCTGGGCCTATAACCCCAAATAGTTGGATTCATATAAGGACCCCGAATAAAGGCTCAAAGTTTCTTAAGCAGGTTCCTACATTACTGTCATTTCAAGGGCGGGTCTCATTATCCTTCGCTGACTGGCCTCCCCTTACCGGCTCCAGGTCCTTTAGAGTTTAGTGTTCAGCGCGTGAGTCCCTATCATCCCAAGACCTGTCAGCACCAAGCACTATAATCCCTAAGATCCTAAAATCCTAAACCCTAGACCCAAAGTCTAAAAGCCCAACACGGCTTGATCTTTCCCTAAGCGTCCATGTCCTTAAAGTAGTCCCTCTATAGGTACTTTGGGGCCAAAGTATATACTATTTTGGTACATGGACTGCTGCATGGACCCTTATAACCTAAACCATTGCATATAGAACCCTTATGGATCCCTTAACGGAGCCCTTAAAGAAGCCCTATTTGGGCTTACGGACCCGTAGGGTTCAACCCCCGATCCAGGAAGCAGCTGCCCCTAGAGCACGCGCAGCGACGGCGATGGGACCCGGTGCGTAAAGCTTGGGTCACCTCCGACGTCTTGGTCCGGTTCGAGAAGGAGTCCTGGGGCTTTCACTTTAGGTATTGATTTGGGTTTATATATGTGTGAATAATCCCCGTTATTGTTTCATATACAGCCCTAATTAATACGCACATAATTATGTGAAGATCTGGGATAAACCCTAACTGAACCTTGAGGTTGTTGTCGTCCCGCTTTACCAATCGAGCGATTCTTCGAACCCCAAATTTTCCACTTCAGGGTCTTGTTTTCGACTTATTTGGGAGCATAAGCCCTAAACTCTAAGCCAAAAGTGGCTAGGATTTTCCGGGTTTAGGGCTTTTAGGGTTTAGGTTTTCAAAATGTCTGGGGTCTAGGGTTTTGGAGTTTCAAGATTTCCGGGTTTAGGGTTATGGGTTATACAGAGTTTCAAGATTTCTGGGTTTAGGGTTCAGGGTAACAAGTCTTGCCCCAAGTTTCCAGGAGCCTTTCGCCAAAGGGTCCATGCGCGTTTGTCATCGCATGCGGCGAGAGCCAGACCGTTCGAACTGGGTGGCCAAGCGGTACATCAGTGAGCCTTGGCCATTTTAAGATTTGCTGTGCAATTCTTGTTGAGGGCTGAGGAAGCACAATGTGTGTGTGTGTGTGTGTGTTGTCCTAAAGCACTTAAACCCTAGCAAAAGATGATATGTTATATATATATATATATATATATATATTGCGAGAATCCTACCATTTTGCCAGCTTCGCTGCTCCAAATTATGGCCTTGAGCCCTACAACCTAAACCCGTAGGCTTGTTTCAGTTCCATTGTCCTTGGTTATGTTCCTAGGTTAGGCTTGCGGAAGCAGCCCAAAATTCAAAACCTTGGACTCCGTCTTTGGCATTAACTAGGTGGCAATTTGGGAAACTTTTTAATTTCCCTTATGGTTCCTATAGAGGTACCTATTCATACATACTCTGCAGAGCCACAAAACTACAACCCAGTTAAGGACTTCAGGATTTCGGCTTTAGGAGTTGAGTCGGTTTGGGGCTGAGGGTTTTGGGCGGTTTAGTTTAGGATTCGGCTTCAGGGTTCGATTCAGGCAAAAGGGCTTCGCGTCTGGTTTCGCTTTCGGGTTCCGGTGTGTTTGGTTCCGTGAGCCCTAAGTCCTGGAAACCCTATGCACCCGCAAGCTGAGACTCCATCGAAGTTGGTGCCTTAAGGCGGAACTAAGGGTTACAGAGATAATGTTCTAGGCTTTAGCTTGTAGAGCCCCAGACCCTAATCCCCTCAAGCCCTATAATCCCTGAAACAGCATAGGCCAGGTGTCCTTAAGGTTCCACCTGCTTTGGCGGGTAGTTCTCGCAATGAGTGCTCCCCGAACCCTAAAGCCTGATCCCTAAACCTGAAGCACTATGGGTCGCCGGCGTACACGGTGTCCTCATACTATAAACACCTTCTGTCAAAGAGCAGTTTAGGGGCTTCGGGCATGCAGGGTTTAGGGTTTCAATGATCTAGAACTTGGTTGCTTTCGACCCCTCAACTAAGTAGCAGATCTCTTCTACCGTATGGGCGGTGAATAATTACCTCGTGTCGCCTGGTGTCCTTATATTGCTCTCGGTTTACCCCGAAACCCAAGCCAAAAGCCCGAAAGCAAAAACCACTAAAATCCATAACCTAGAATCCCAAAGCCCTGGAACCGCAAAACTCTAAAGTCTGTAGCCTTCAATCCGCAAATCCTAAGCCCTTACAAAGCTCTAATATACACTACAGCTCCGTAAAGTGTCAATCTTAAGCACATTTATAGGAATTTAGTCACATATGAGGAAGCACAAACCCGCAGAAGAGCCCCGAAACCGTTGACCCTATCAACCTTAAAGACAAAACACCCTTAAAGCCCTAACCCCTAAACCCCGAACCCTAAATCCCCACCACTACACCCTACCCCCTAAACCCTGTACCCTAAACCCTAACCCCCAAAAAAAACTAACCCCTGTACCCTAAACCCTATAACCCTCAACCTTTAGCCGCCTTGGCAAATGGGAGTTTCCGAAAATAGGGGACCCTAATATGTAGTACCCTAAATAGTAGGATCCTTATTATAAGGGCCCCAAAATAAGGTACTCCTAATTTCGGAAACTCCCTTAAACCCTAAACCCTTCATAGAACCCTTATAGATCCCTTTACGGATCCCTTTAAAGGAGCCCCTAATTTCGGAAACCGCCAAATGAAACTGGAGGATCCCGATCTCTCCGTCCTCGAAAGCGATGTGATCATGCAGATGATCGCCAAGAGCTACGGAGACCGTTTCAACTCTTGCTCTCCACCGAAGTTCCCGGGCAGAACGTATGGGTTTCAGGATTTTGAGGTTTCAGGTCTGAGGGTTTTTCGGATTTCCAGGTTTCAGGACTTAGGGCTCAAGGCTTAGAAGTTTTCTGCGCTGAGAGCTTCGCATTTCGGGTGTAAGGTTTCCTATTGGTCCGCCATACAGATGCCCACGCACATACACATGATATACATACATGTATATACATAGGCATAAGCTCCACCGATGGTCCTGTCTTGCAACCCGAAACGTAAGCTCTAATCTCTCAAACCTTTTCCCTCTACAAGCTTGCTAAGCCCGTCAGACGTATACTCCCACCAAACCATATGTGAAAGAGCTCCCAAAACCCGAAATCCTTACATCCTCGAGCTCCTGAAACCCGACAAGACCCGCTCGCAAACAATGTAGAAACCCTGCCCTGTAAACCCCTACAAATTCGCTTAAAGCTCTTTTCGAGTCCTTTCCAAACCCGGGGAAGTCATACAAATCCCTGTGGAACCCTATTTGTCCCTTATCAAACGGTCGCAAACCCCCCTTAAATCTCCCAAGGAAGGTGGACTTCGTGGAGGCATCGGTGCTTGCTGTCCTGGAGCGACCCGGTCAGCGGCGGGACTTCGCGGTGGAGGCGTGCCTCAGCGTTCTTGGGCTAGAACTATTAGGGATGTCTCAGGGTGTTACAGGTGCCCCTTCCCTTCATAGTGACCCCAAACGAAATCCCATGTCATAATTACTCAACATAGCTGTGAAACAAGATTGGGTCACGTGGGAACTTTATAGACCCCGATCCGAGTGTTAGACTTTTTCTTTTACTGCGGCCCGTACGGTTAAGATGCTTTGCGCCAGGCCTTCTTGGATGGCAGCTTCACAAAGCACTCCAGCAACTCAGGCGATCTGGGACTATAAACCCTACAAATCCTAAACCCTAAACCCTTAATCCTAAACCCAGGACACTGAAATCACGCAAGCCCCAAACCTGAGCCTCAACAGCAAGAGAAAGGTTCTACGGTCTCCGCGATTTCAGGTTTAGGGCTTGGGGCTGTCACTCCTCACACTCTCAAGGCCCGGGATACTCAGATCCTGAAGCCGTAGCAGTTTGTTCGTTACCCCATATTCCACATAATTTCGGCGCCCAGAGCCCCAAAATAACCCTGAACCATATCTTCCGTCTACCCTGAACCCTCTCAGCCTTAATTGCACCTATCATCCTTGAGCCTGTGATCCAATACCCGAGATGCTGGGGCTCTAGACTCATAGCCTACCCAACTCCCACCCTCTGAACTGGGGGGGTGTTCAGGGGGGGAGTTGGATCACCTGTGATAGACCAATCCACGTTGTGAGCTCTATGCTTAGGGTTTCGGGCTTGCCGCTAGGTTCGGACTTGGGATGTATACTTTACTCCCTCTTTGAGCTGCTTCCTCCTAGGAGTGTGCAGCAGCACTTAAGCACGAGAAGGGGGACACACCCAGAGATCCCAAGCCGGTAGAACCAAATCCTAAAGCAAAGTATCCGAACTCTGACCCTGTGCGAGTGCTCACATAGCAAACCCGCAACTCGCATTCCTAAGCCGTAAACCCTAAATCCTAACTCAAAGCACACCTCCACCCCAATATTCCATCAAACCCTGAGACCTAAGACCGGGTCCTCTGGAACGTTCTGGTCTCGGTGTTAATGTAGACGTGTGATCGACAAGGTGTGGGAAACATTTATGTGGAATACTGATGATGCGGCCCTTGCAAAAGGGTGGTCATTCGATCAAAGTTTCAGAACACATGGACCCTTCAATGTGAGGGCCCCATTTTCCGGCAGGCTTCGTGGCGGACGAGGTCGTAAGGAACACTCCCCATGCCTTCTCGCACTACACCTTTGAAGCTTCGGCTGGTGAGCAGATCGTCGTGGACATCCAAGGCGGGGAGGCTTCAGGGTGTAATATAGCAGCTTGAATAGCTGCGAGCATTAGTTCTTGGGGTTCCGTTTTGCAGCTATCACATACCCCAGCCCCACAACAAACCCAATTCTGATCATCAGTGTTTGGAGGTTGTGGCCTTCGGGCGAAGGAACCTAAGGTGTGGTCTGCATATTTTCAACCCACAAAGGCTGTCAGGTTTACATGGTGCCTAGGGTCCTGTATGTACTTTGGCCCCAAAGTGGTCCCATATGGGTGGTTGTCAAAATTATGGCCCCTTTTTGGGAACCCTAAATATTCTAAACTAGGGACCCAAAAAGGAACCCTAATTTTTACAACTACCCATATGGGAAGGGTACATGGACCCCTAAGGTAACCCGTGCTTCTGCCAATTCGGCTTCTTGTACAGGATCCCTTCATTCTGGCTTGACTTCGGTTGGATCTGGAGTTGTTTCATCTTAGCATTGGGCCTGAAGATTTCGGATTTAGAGGTCGCGGTATCTTCCGATTGTGGCTTATACCCTGCGGGAAGCTCATCACAAGCACGGTTACAAGAATGGCAACTGTAGACGTTAGTCTAGTCCAATGTAAAAGGTGCTGAAAGACCTACGTTACCGACAACTGTACTTGAGCCTTTCGGTAAACCTTTCAACTTTGTCCATACATGTCCCCTTCCACCAATTCAGAGGCATGCATTGCGTTTGCACCCTAAGTCTGCCTTCCGTGAGGTGTCGACGACTTGTACACAGATCCGCATGTCGGCCGGAATTTCATGTAGTTCGGTAAACCCTACCCCAAACACTCAACCCTAGTTTAGGGAAGGCCGCGAATGCAGAAGAGACCATGCTTTTTGTTGGGTTTGGAAGTGCTCTTCAGGAAGCCTCGGAGGAGCCACCGGACCTTCTTTGAAGTTGTTTCGACAGGGGGATCTGGGGTACGAAGCCCATGACTGTGGATGAAGGATTGCATGAAGGATCATACCATTGAGCAGAGCCACGAGTTCTGTTTCTGCTTCCGCCTGTGCAAGGAAGCGACAAGGAAAGCTAATGTGAAGTGGAGCATTTGTTGAAACAGAGTGCAACGGGTCAGGGTAGAGCTGCAACTTAACTTGACAGAAACAGAGTTCGCAATCTGCCTTCCATTTCAACCGGTCGAACACAAGACTCGGGTGGAATGGCGTCCCAAGTGGAACGTGCCAGGTAACCTTGAGACATACCGATACTGCGAAAGGTATACTGGGTATTGCCCAACCCTCAAAACAGGGACCGCAAAGCCTAAAACCACAAGACCTGAAACCCCCCCAGGCCCCAAGAATGAGTGTAGCTGGGCTGAGGCAGATCCACACTGCTACAAGCTCTGCCAGCTTCGGACGAGGCGGGAGAAGCATGGGAGCTTCAGGAACGAAGGGACCTCGAACCATTCCACTCCCGCCTTTTCGTGATTTAAGGCAACATTGACAGCTCTCTCAAGACCCGTACATGAGAGCGGAGATGTGAGCGAGTTCAGGCTGTTTCACATGTGATCGCCCGGGTCTCTTTAGCAAGCTCCGTGTTCGAAACCCATCCCAAGCTCTCATGGCTTTTGCCCTCTACCCTTGCATCTAATCGCCTGAGCCCCCAGGCCTACACCCCTCCAACCTTAGCCTGGACAACTCGAATAACCAAGCCCCAACAAACCCTCCTTCGAGACGCAATGGTTTAAGGGACGGCTTCCAACAGCCTTTCGGCACCTATTTTCCTTTTTCCGAAGCCTTAAGGATCAAACCTCAAACCCAAAACCCTAACCCGTAATTCTAAGCCCTTAGCCCTAATCCTTGGCCCTCAACACTGAGCCATCGGAATCGGTCATTGTCACTGTTGGCCTGGCGGGAGGAAACATGGGCATCCGCGGGATTGCGCTCTTCTTTGCCAGCCACCGCAACTCGGTCGCGTCTGTTGGGATTAAGCCATTCTGCAGGGCTGCGTACATATATTCATTTGTTGTTTATGAACTGATGTATCTAGTGGCTCATCTCCCTTGAATGCATACAAGCACATGCATACACATATATATATATATGTATATATATATATATATATACAGATATATATATATATATATATATATGCATTTCTATCTGTCCATCAAGCATCTACGTATGCATGTATGCATGCATGTATGTATGAATATATCTACGCATAATGGGTGTATGCATGCATGTACCAATGTATGCCTCTCAGTGCATCAAGACCTGAGTTTTCATCTCTCATAATTATGGCACCTTGTAAGCGCAGCTAACAGAACGCTTCCAAGTTTATGTTAGCCGCTGCAGGCTGCAACAGCGTTTGCCATCAGCTCGGTCTGACACCGTTTGCGCATTCCCCGCGCCTTGGTCTGCTATGTTAGATCTTCCAGTTTCATTTCAACTTATGCAGTAACCCAAGCAACTTACCATCTCGAGGGTTTCGAGTAAGGAAATCACAATCGGGAGCCACAAAAAGGAAGGTTTGCAGGGCTCAGGTGGTTTGTTGAAAGAAGATATAACTTTGGTCTTGGAGGCTTGTTGAAGAATCTTCAGGGTTGTTGCAGGGTTTCGGGGATGCGCCGGCACATGCCAGCTGCAATGCAACAGCCAAGCACCAAAAGACCCAGGTCCCTAAGCCCCAGACTCCCTGGAGCTCTGACCCTAAACCCCAAACCCCTAAACCCTGACCCCTGAACCCTATAAACCCGGATCCGCTGTCGGGCTTAGGGCTTTGGGTTTGGGTTCACGGTTTAGGGGTTTAGGGGTATAAGCCCCTAAACCCCTAAACCGTGAACCCAAACCCAAAGCCCTAAGCCCGACAGCGGATCCGGGTTTTCCGTCAGCTTAAGCTCCTGCGCTATAAGTTTGCCTTGGAAGCTCCGAAAGCACCCCAGGATGCCAGGCGACGGAGCAGCGACGGAGTACGGGAGGCTGGGTTCCTGTTAAGGGGTGTAATATTTTAGGTTACCATAATAAGGAAACCATATTATTCACTATGGATCCCTATTATGGTAAGTTAAACTAACATTATTCACTATAGATCCCTATTATGGTAGCTTAAACTAACTTCCTCAACCCGGGAGGTGGGAGCTGTTCGAGCGAGGAGGGAGTCGGATTGGGCTCTTTTGGGTTCAGATTCTAAGTTTCGGTGTTTCCCAAAGGGTCCAAGTATCATTCTGGTATATACTTATAGGGCATTTTGGGGGTCTAAGTATATACCATGATGATACTTGGACCCTTTGGGTTTATGGCTTATAGAGGTTTAGGGTGTGGGGTCTTGGCCTCAAGCAGTTCGGACTTAGTGCGGTGGGATCATTATAGGAACTGTACTCAGGGCGTTAAGACAGGAGGTTGTTGTTTGGGTGGGCTTCGGTGCCCAAGCATGATCGCTTTGGCATGTTTGTAATTCAGGTTTTTGTTTCTCTGGCCGGGAGCTCCGCGTGCTTTTTCAGGCTGTCTTGCTGGTTTGCGTTTGGCGGGCATTTGCAGGTTTCTGCAGCAGTTCCTCGTTTCAATGTTTGCTGGTGTAAAGTTGAAGCAGCGCCCGTGTTAGCACTGCATCTGAGACCTTGGGCGGTTCGGTCAATGCAGCCTCAGAGGTCTAGCTGAATCAGATGTACGAAAAGAAAGTTTCGTGGTGTTTTGGGTCTTTACCCTGAGTCTGCCTCTGACTCCGACATGCAAAGCATCCGGAAGCTCTTCTTGAGTCCTTGAGTGCGTTTGCGCTCGAACCACGCCTCCCTTTGCAGGGATGCCGATGCGGCCCCCGACGAGGAGCGAATACATTTCGATGGGAGTTCGAGAGGCTCTTGACGAGTTCTTGTCACCACATTCTTCCGACTAAGCTGGGTCGGTGTTGGCCCGTTGGCATTTGGGCCTTGTGGCATTTCGGGTCCTATTCTGCTCGTCGAGAACTTTCGGGGAAGAGTGACTTGTGTTTTTGGAGGCGTCGAAGTTAAGAAGGGGACCCTCATCCATGGAATCGCGCTTCGTCTGCTACTGAAGCTGCAAGAAGTTTGACCTGCACATTCCCTATACACACCCAGGAGTCCCAATCAACTCCCAACAGCTTTCAAGTCGAACACCAGAGGCCATGACCCCACGAGGCCCTCTCAGGTCCATCTTATCTTGGACTTTGTAATCAAGGGATGAGGAGGTTGAACACTTAGTCTATACCCACATGCCCCAAAGCCATGAAGTCAGCTGAACACCCTAAGCCCTGAATAATGCTAGGCTAGGCTAGGCTGTCGCAGGAGGTGGTGATTCGGGCAGAGCCTTCATCGCTGGTGCTGGCGGTGGGCAAAGGCCCGGATGTTGAGGTTCCTCTGGGTACTTACATAGCAGAAGGCAAGGTTGCTATATACATCAGGAGTTGCTGGTACTGTAGGGCTCACTTTCTGCCCGATTGAATCTTGCATCCTAAACCCTTAGGAGGCTTTCGGTAAGATTTCTTGAGACCTGGGGGTACAGGAGGGCTATCGGCCATGTATTACAAGCCCCTTAGATTTCAAGCTTCTACACACCCAACCCCGAAATCAACAGCTGCTCCTATGCATCGCAGAAGAGGAGCACCACATTCATCCGTACAAGCCTTCTCCTAAAGCACAAACAAGACCCTTGTAGAAACTTCATACATAAACCTTCATTTCAACACTCTTTCGTCCTCCTCCGAATTCGGCCCACAGAACCCACAGCCTTCACCTCCCCCTAAACCCCTACAGCCCTCAACCCGAAGGAAAGAACTCCCGAGCTGAAATTTACCGCCACGTCCACTTCGCCTTGGCCATGCTGCACGCGCGGCACGTCCAAGCGCCTCTCGCCCTGTGAGCAGAAAGGCGCTTGAGTTTAATATAGGGGCTTTGAAGAATTACCTCTACTATGTTGGGGGGGTCCTTAATATGAGTATGGTATAATATGGCCCAAGACCCTAGCTTAACAATGGGCTTTACAGAATTACCTATGCTACGTTGGATTTGGGGGTTTCTTGTTGTGTTTATGGTATAATATGCCCCAAAACCCTATTCTAATTATTAAGGCCCCTACAGAAGTAGGTGTGCTTAACGGCTTTCTGTGTACATTATACTATCCTGTCCTTTTCCTATCCTGTTCCAGGACATCCCAAGGTGTATGGGGCTTTGATTTACCGGGCTATGCAGGGGTTTCGTAGGGTTTGTATAAGAACGTTTACATACAAGGGTTACCGAAGCCCCTAATTCAGCCTGAAACCCTAAACCCTAGACTCCAGACCGTGCTTTCGCAGATATGTTGAAGTTTGGGCTTAAGCCTCTTGGAGACTTCGGGGGATCCTTGGGCCCAGCATCTTGAACCCTTCAACAGCGCCCTTAGTGTCTAGGGTTCAGGGTTTCCGGGGTTTAGGGTTTAGGGGCTTAGGGTTTTAGGGTTCAGGGTTTGGGGCTTAGAGCCCTTATGATTATGGTGCTCAATAAGGGGATTTGGGGTATGATGGATGGTAGTTGGTGGGGGGTCAAGATAAACCGTACCTAAGCCCCAATTTTTTTTGGGGACGGCCGTGTAAGCCAAGTAAGACGCCGCATGCAGACCCCGAGCCGAACTAGCAAAAGGCTATTTCGATCAGAGCGAATCGTGGGGTCCTACAAATCCAATTTCTGCCACCATAAACACCCTAAGGCGCGACTAAACCCTGAGCCCCAATGGCCCAAGTCCCTAAACCCCACCAAACTCTCCACCCCGATACCGGCAAGGAACGCCGAGTTCATCGGCCACAATGTGCTCACCTCGCCGGCGCAGGGCATCTCGAATCAAAGAGGGCAGCGGAGGGCTTTCGTCCAGAATGGGCTTTAGGGTTTAGGGTTAGGCATTTAGGGTTTGGGGGGCCGGGGTTTCGCGTTTAGGATTTGGAACTAGAGTTGAGGGTTGATGGCGAAGGGCATTTTGAAGCCTTAACATACCCGGAAAGCCCAATACACCTTAATTCAGCCTTATACCGTAATAACAAACCGAGAAAGTTACGAGTAGGCTTGAGGTATTTATATTTCGGTATATCGCTCAACAGAATAGCACACGGCTGTTCGCATCACATATTTCATGCGGCTGCCCACTTGTACTTGCAAACCCTATCTAATACTCTAAATACCCACGCCCGAAGACCTAGAACCCCAGTATATCGTTGAGATGATTCATATAGAGACATAACAAAGTTACTCAGCTCCGTCCCATAATATTCTTACACTCTACTATACCCCGATGCCTTGATCCAACTGTAAGGCCCTGCAGTAGACCTTGAACCCTAAATTCCTTACAAAAGCCCTCAACGAAGCAACTGTATTGTATCGTTTTGCCCAGGCCCCGTCCAGTCTAGCAAGTTACATACTACTCTGAACCCTAAACCCCTAAACGCTAGACAAAAACACCGAACCTTATAAACTAGACACTTAACCCTGGTAGTAGAATAGCTAACCTTGAACCTGTTCTGGGGTATTTTAATCCCTACAGACATAATCCCGAAGGTTGACTGTTGAGTCCCTTAGGATGCCAGAGAAAAGCAAGTAGCTTAGAAGCTGCCCCCACCCTGTAATAGAGACTATAAGGATTATAATCGGGCCCTATTATATTCCTATTATACCACTATTACAGGGTGGGGGCCCCTTCTAACAAGTATCCCCTATGCCCAGGCCTCTTCCACCTACAGGTGTCGGCCCAGCTCGGGAGCATCCCAGGCCAGCCTCGATAATTGCAGGGATGTTGGGATCCTTCAAGGGTTCAGCCTTTTTGGGGTTTAGGGTTTAGGGGTACGGAATGGGGGGAATGGATTCTGGTGACTTTTATTGGGGAGTATATAGGGACTACTAGATATTAGGGTTTAGGTTTTAGGGGTAGGGAATGGGGTGTACCGTGCAACAGCCCCCCGTGCTGAAGGTGCGCTGGCGCTGGCGTGCCTGCAACTCTGCGAGCCTTGGGTAGTCGGGGTGGGTTCATGCCATGATCTGTGGTTTCGGGTTTGGGAATGCTTGGAGGTTAACCGGCCCCAATCCCCAATCATAGGTCCCTGTGTACGTATCTCCTGCAATCCCTGTAGCAAGCCACACGGGGGACGCTGAGAGTGGAGGTCTGCCAGTACATTGATGCGAATGTCAGGTGTGTGTTTGCGTGAACGTGTGCAGGTATGTGTAAGCAATCCCAAACTCCAGAATCTGTCCCTAAAACACATTAAATCGTAAAGTCTCCCTACTTTCAAAGCCCCGCACCTTACTGCGTTGAACCTTTCAAGACCTTTTTTGAAAGCCAAGGCATCTCAGCATTCGGCCCCGAAAGGGCGTGCTACGAGCACTGGGGACCTCCCTACAGCGGCCTCTCACGCTCGACGAGAGTGCTGCGTCTCTTGGATGGACTTGGTGAGCGAACATCACGAAGGGTTGTGGATTTTAAGGGTTCAGTATGTTGTTTGTTGTTCTCCTCACTACTAGTCTTTGCGTTCTTCAACTTCTCGCTTGCTTGACTGTCGTGTTTTAAGGCGTTACGGGTGTGGGGCGTAGCGTTTTGTGTTCGCGGATGCTACATAGAACCCTGCTCGACTAGTAGTACGGGCCAGTAGAAGCCAACATTGAAGGTCCTACACTATTGGTCGTATACTCGAGAAAACTCCATGAAATTCTGTATACTCTGAAATGTTATCAACACCTCATATATCCCAATATTAAATGCAGTATTATCAAGACCCCTATCAGCACCTTGTACAAGCCTATAGTCGTATGCCAGGTTCCCGTACATCCTGCAAGCTGCCGAGAGCGGTGTGGCGAAAGCCATGGCCGCTGCCGCTTACGCCTACGAGCGAGGCTCATTTCCGGGGGTTTGGAAGGTCGGAGATGAAGGTGGGAAATATAGGGGCTTAATAGTTGGATTAGGGTTATGATGTATGTTATGCTAGATTCATAATAGGGATGAAGGTTGGTAGGATGAAAGATCCCTTGTAAAAGGACTGTTGTTTGGGGTAGGGGAGGAAGAAGGATCCCTGGTATCATGGGACACTCGTTTGGGACTACGATCCTTCTAGGACTGTCAGGGCTCACTTGAGGGATCCTCTCTAGTTATTCAAGCCCCTAAACTCCGCACCACGACGAGAGTTTGTAGATGCTGGACCAATGAAACGCACGTCATATGGACCCCAGACAACAGCAAGATTGCAGGCTTGGGTTGTGCCGTTTCTGCCACCGATGCGGTGTTCTGGTACCGCAAGGCGCTTGCTGCAGAACGGAGTGTAATGTACCGGTCTGAAGATTCAAGATTTAGCAAGACTGTCCGTCCATAGTCCCTCATAGGACTATGCTATCCTATCCTACTCCGGCGTTAATGGACTGTCTATCAATCAAAGCCACTACATTAGGGGTTCACGCTCTTGGACGTGGGATCAGCTTCGTCATGGCTGGGTTTGATGACGAATTCTGTTAGGTCTCAGGGTTCTGGACTTATCAGTCGGATGTCGGAATGCGGGGAAACAGGTTTCAGGAATACTGTTCCAGGGCCTGGGGGTAAGGTTTCAGCGGTTTCACCTCTAGGATGAACCCTAAACCTTCAACCGCCAGAACACAGCATCCATGAGTTTCGGCGGCACGGGTTTTCGGCTTGTACTTGGTCTGCGAAGATCTTCAGGCAGAAGGTAAGTAAGCTTCCCGTCATCGGCACACCCCTAATCCACAAATGCTAAACCCCTAGCCAACGCGCAACAATACCCATATATGCGTATGTCATACATCTATCTATATAAATATACATACTATCATATATACATATACTATCATATAATATAATACAATACACTATAACCCAAGCATGACTTGACTCATCTTGAGTTTCAGCCTTCCTGCAGAGCCTTCGCCTTCGGCCCTGCGACCTCCAAGATCCCAACGTCCTGCCAAAGTCTTCAGCCCAATGTAGAGGTCTGACTAACTACGTAGTAGTATTCATATCATAGCTATACAAGTGCAATAGACTATACACCTCAAAAACCAACACTAAGGACTAATGTCCCAAGCCTTCATAAAAAGAATTCATCAAGCTCCTTACATAGGCCCCTTAGGGACCCTCACAAGCGCTCAATTCTGCGCCCCGAGGTGTCCTCAACCCCCCTTAGGCACCTGCCTCTCCCCAGCACCGGTTCTTACAATTTCGTCTAGGGTTTGAGGGATTCAGGATTTGAGGTTTAGGGTTGTGGCTTAGGGTTCTGGGTTTAGGATTCAGGGTTTAAGGCTTAAGGTTAGGGTTTGTACAACTGGGTAGTCGTGAGCCTTCAGAAGACCCCAAAACCCTGAAGTGTCAGGGTTTGAGCTTTCAGGTGGGGGGATGTCCTCTTGTTTGAGGCTTAAGGGTTGAAGGGCTTGGGTTTTCAGGCCTCGTACTTCCCAGACCTTCCAAACCCCCTTAGTTAAGCAGTATACCATAAATTGTATCGGGATCCTTAATATGATTCAATCATAAGGTACATATATTCCTTAATCAAGGGATTTTGGAAGCTCTGGGTTTCACCGAGTCCGATAGTTCAAAGAATCCCGACCCGAACCAGTCAAAGTCCTGCCTCCTGCGACTTCCGCCAGGCCTTGACAGCTCTGAGCACGCCGCTGGCCTTCCCAACATTTTGATTGTCAACAGGATAGGTTGTTGGTCCTATGTAAATATAAACATGTATATATATACATACACACATACATATATATATATATATATATGTATATGTATACGCGAGATTTTACATATTTTACATACAGACATGCACTCGTACGAAATTGTCTATGGTTGTCAGCCCACGCTGACATCATCAGCATTGATATTCACACATTTGACTCTCAATCTGCGTTTGCGCCTGTATGTAAGTCCGCACGTGCAGATGCAGGTATGTGTGTACATGCATACACTGCAAAGTACAGCTGACGGACTGGGCAAGGCTTCAAGTCCGGCATCGCAGTCTCCGTGGGCATCGGGAGTCTGATGGGGTGGAGACCCAAACCCTTGCCGCGAAGTAAATACACGGTGGTCATACAGTTTCAGGTTCTGCGAAGAGCCTTTAAGCCACAGACTCTGAAGACCTGAGCGATTCTGAGCCGTTGACCTCTGCTTGCTAAACCCTAACTGCTCTGAGGCAGGAGGATGACACGGAGACTTGGCAGCACATTTGGGGTGATGCCAAACCTTCGTAGATCAGAATTTGCTTTTCTTGGGGGGGGAGGGGGGGCGGTTCGGGTTGAGGAGCGGTCTCGCCACCAAGTCTGATTTCGGGCACCCCTCGTTACGAGCCTTACAAGGAAGCTTCATGTCGGGGAAAGGAACTGTGCAAGATATTAGGTCGTCATGGCCCATTGGAGTCATTGGAGATCGTCTATACTATAGGGGCCTTAATAATTAGAATCGGGTTTGGGGGCCCATGCCCTTCTTCTTCGTGAGGCTATGGGTCCAATGCGGACGCGCCTATTGCACAAATGAATTCAAACGCAGTATGCGCTCACGTGCTTACAGCACACGACGCAGAAATCTGCTCTGAAAGGCCTCGAGAGAGATGGAACCAGCGCCGGAAAAGCTGTCTCTGTCGAGCTTCTTTCAGGAAAACAAGCGGACTGCAAGTGACCACAGACAGCAGTTATTGACTGGCTTCCAGGTCTCAACTAAGACTTAAGCGCAAACAGCAACAGGACAGGAAGACGGGTTCTACTAAATGCAGCGGAACCCGCAGAAACCGGCTACTAAACATTCAAAGTCCTGAGCCTATTCCTCCAGGGGTCGGGGAAGGCAAACTACAAGACAAAAACCCCACATGGCTGATTAAAATAAGCCACGCCCGCTCCAACGCACGCGCCATGTACAGTGACTGCGTATATACAGACGCGCATGCTGGGCAACACACGCAATCAGTTCAAAAGGAGCTGCAGCACATCTCAACTCCGGTAGAGCCGCCGATTGTAGGCAAAGTGGCAATGTATATGACTGCCACAATGCACGGGCGGACAAATCACAAGTAGCCACCATTCGTAGACGCCAACTTCAAGCGTCCTTCATGCCGCCAGTCCGGGCGGCAGACAGCTTCCGACTGCCCAAATCCATGCAGCTTCCACCTGACTGCAACGTGTAGTCGCATCCGGCGAGCAGAGCATGACACTCCGCTCGCTCTTGTGGAACAGCTACGATTTCGTTTGGTCCCCGAAAGCAGCGTTTCCAGCACCAACCACCACCATTGCAGTTCGGTGTCCTCTGGCTCGTCCATGAGTGCCTCGAGGAGGAGATTGCGGCCTGGGCCACCAACCTCCCGAGGAAGCACATCAACCATCCCCACTGCCATAATTAAGTTGTGCAGTTTGCGGTAGAAGTGCTTTCTCTTTATGGCACCTTCTGCTCCAACTGCTGTGAACGCTCTGCAAGTCCTCATGGTTTCGGTGACGAAGTTCATGTCACTTGGGGAAAAGCCCTCCCTGACACCATGCAGGATTCCTCCGAAGCGGCTCATCTGGAAGAGGATCTCCAACTCCGAATCCTCCTCGAGATTCCGAGTCTCATGACTTGAATATATGAAAGCCAGCCAACTTGATGAAGCTCCGCATGAAAAACTTGCTGTCCCGTAGCCGGCAGACGTGCCTTTTCCCCATGGGGCAATGATTCTAAGGCACTGGGGTCTTGGCTATATGGTGCGCTGTTGCACCAGCTGATCCGAGACCCTGGCCCATGCCCATTATACTATCATTATAATAAGGAACCCCTCCCAAAAATAGTATAGGTAATTATTTCAACCCCTATATTACTCAGGTGCAATGATGGTGGTCTGTGTGCCGCCGTTTACTTCTACGATTCCGGGCGACCCCAGGCCCCATACCAGCAGCTCTGAATCCGAAAACCTGGTTTAGCACAACCCGGAGAGCTCAATGTATGTAGACATATATGTATGTAGATACAGATATCCACAAAAATATATATATATATATATATACATATATATGCACATGTCTATGTGAGTTGATTCCTTCTTACTTGTTGGTGTATGTAATCTTCAAAGGAGGAGGACCGCGAAGCTGAGAGACTGCCCGGCGGATCGCTAGTGACCGGGCGGCAACGTGAGGCAAGTATTTAGGGTTCAGATTTCCGGGAAAGGGTGTGGGGTTCAGGGTTTAGGTCTCCTATTAAGGACTTGTACCAAGGAAAGGCGATACGGAACCCTCAGCCTTGTGTTCAGTGCTGCACCCCTATGAAAGCCGATCCGAGTAAACCCCTGTTTAACGTACGTTTAACCTTACTTATACTAAGTCCCACGATTAAACTAAGCCCCTAAACCCCTAAACCCCTGAACACTAAACCTACCCTATACCTTACAAACCCTAAACCCTATACAATAGGCCCCGTCAAAGATCCGAGGAACAGTCGGAGATCCTGCGGGCGTTGGCGCATCTTTACGAGCTTGGCGGGGGAGGCTTGGCGCCAAATCCCAGGCCATGGGCTGCGGGGTTTCTTCAAGGGTTCCTTTAAGGGATCCTTGAGGGTTCGTGGGTTTAGGGGCTTTGGGGTTTAGGAGTTTCGGGTTTCTCTAAAGGGTAGGAAAGGGTTTAGGGATCTTTAAGGGTTTGGCAGGGGTTTCGGGGCTTCGGGTTTGGAGGTTTAGTTTTTTTTTGTCAGTTTAGGGGCTTAGGATTCAGGGGTTCAGGGGTTAGTCTAGTGGATTTTTGGTTCAGGGGCTTAGAAGTTTTGGGTTCAGAGGCCTTTTTCCTTTGTGTGGGGTTGTTAGCTTAGGGGTCCCGTCATGTTAATGATTCGACTATATTGGGCCAGGGAGGAGCCGTTCTGTGTCAGGTTATAAGTGGTGCATGCACGCAGGCTGCGGTGAGGTTTCCTCAAGATGTTTGCTAAGGAAATTCTGCTGGTGTTTTAAGTGTCGGGTGTATGAGTTCAGGGTTTTGTGCTTGGAGATTCTACGGATGATTATAGTTTTAGGAATGTTTTGGGGTTTAGGGATGAGGAACAGGAGCTGTCGAAACCTACTGAATCGAGTCTTGGCTTGTTTTGGGGTCTAAGAATTGCTGCGTCCCGGGGTGTAAGTAGAGTTTAGGGTGCCCCCTCTCAGAATATTGCTTTGCAACCTCCTGAATGTGATTGCTTAGCGTCCCTAGCGTGCGAAGGGATTTAGACAGCCTCGAAGAACAGTTGGTTTGGCAGCACTCCTCGACCTGAGTTGATGAACCCCAAACTAGCGCCCCGACCTCTGCATCCTACCCACCCCCCCTCCAATTCAAGCTGCATAATAATCCTAACTCCAAAGCCATACGCCCTGAAGCAACTAGACTCTAAATCGAAGTCCACAAACTGTCACTGGTAAGCCCCAAGCCTTCAATCCTGGTCTAATTATCGAGGCATTTGCAACCTAAACGCAAAACTCTAAACCGTACAACCGTAATATAGTGGCCTCACAAATTATCTATACCATTCTTGGGGGGTTTCTCTTAATGATTACAGTAGACGTATGTCAAAACCCTATTCTACTTATTCTGGCCCCCATGATTCTCTCTGGGAGGTTGGCTTGGCAGTTTCAAGTTCTGTCCAACAACAGGGCCCGTTTAGAGTCGGCCGACAGTGGGGAAGAGTCCTCGCCAGTGGACGAGCCGCCGGTGAAGAAAAAACAGCTGCGAGTGTTTTTGGCGCTTAGGGTTCTGGGGGTTTAGGGTTTACCTTAACCCTGAAGAACCTACCTTTTTGGGGCTTCCTACTATGATTTCCTTCTATAAGTCCTTAAAATCGTAGGTTCTTCAGGGTTAAGGTAGGGTTTAGGCTTTTTTTATGTTAGGGCTTGGGGCTTCGGGTTCAGGGTTGATATAGAGGTCTCAAGACTTAGGAAGGGCTTTTGGAGCATCTCTGTAGAAATTTTCATAATCATGCATAATGTATTTGTTACCAAAACCTAGTGCTGGATGCACACTGGCTTTCCGGCTACAAGCCTTTTTTGGGGGGGGTCGTAGAGCCATTTCAAAAACAGCATTTAGTAGGGTCTTAAGGTTGCTTGAGTGTCGGTCTTGGGGAGCAACTGGGTTCTTCAACAAACCCCAGACCCTAAGCCCAAAACACCCAGACAAACAAGCTTAGTAACAAGTCAGCCCGGTAAGCCTTCAGCTATCCTAAGCCCACCCAAAACCCGAAACTCCTAAGCCCTAAACTCTAAACCCTTTGAGCCCGAAGCCGCGGGACCGGAACTCGAACCCTAAACTCAATGAGCCCTAAGCCCTCTAAGCCCTGTTTGAGCCCTAAACCCTAGAGCCTGTAAGCTTCATGGGTTTATAAGTCCCCGAATATAGGCTACGTAAGAAAAGTTCTCGTACCTATAACCCCTGCTTGTAACTGCTCCTTTACAATAAGTCCCCTAATATAGGCTATATCATTGCTGTCCTACTTGGGTCTTACTTTTAAACCGTTACCACCCATGAGCCTCCAAGTACGCCAGACAGTCCACAGGAGGGGCGCGTTGCCCAAGCCGCAGATCGGAGCCGCGTCTTCCTGAACAAGCCAGGGCATCCTTGGTTCAAGCCGAAAGGTGGGGCCTTGGGGGGTTTAGGGGGTTTAGGGGACAGGGGTTTCGAGTTAGATTTCAGGGCTTTAGGGTTTCAGGCTTTGGGGTTCATAGGGTTTAATTCGGGTTTGGTGAGTGGTTCAGGCCGAGAGGTGGGGTACACTTTTTAACTTCAGGTTTCTGGGTTCCTATTATAAAATAAGAAGCCTAAAAAGTATATACTTTTTCCCAGTCGGTTACTGAACAGCCTAGGAATCCACAAGGGCTTCGGCAATGCAAGAGTTCAGGGCGCCGACTCTTGGGGCTCGCGGGCTTTGCTTAATTACATACCTTAAGGACGACATGAACGCTAAAAGGGTTTAAGGTTCGTATACCATATAGGGCTTCATAGTGTATGAGTATAGGGCCCCTACTTTTTCAGGGTCATTTGGCCCTTCAGGTATATCACTGCTACAGCAGGTTGGTGATATGGATCCTGCATTACCTTAAGGACCTTAAACTCTGGGAATAGTGGTATATTTTAGGAGTATAATAGGGCCCTAATATAGTATTAATATAATCCTTATGGTCACTATTACAGGGTGGGGGCAGCTTCTAAGGTATATTCCTTCTTTTGGGTTTGTATCATCAACAGTAGGTTGAACTATAAGTCATGGAGCCCAAAAGGCAGCTGCGACGTGGTCGAATTTGGCAATGCCTACGCAAAGTCCTGGGGACGCAGCGTCTTCAGCCAACCCAAGGCAAGCATACAAGGGCATTTCTTCCAAGTGGGCATTTGGGGGTTTGGGGCTTCGGGTTTAGGTTCCCAAATTCGAACAGCCATACAGGGGGACCTTAGTAGGGTTTAGTTGGGCTTAGTTTTGGGGGGTTTGGAGCGTCGGTGTAGGCTCCCTGCCAAACCCTAAGAAATCTCACAAAGACCTGAGCCGTACGCCCTGTTGAGGTCCTCCTTGCCCGAGGGCCTGGCGTTTTGAGTTCAGGCTGCTGGTTTGACCATACACCCTAAACCCAAAGCAATGAAACCTAAACCCAAAGCCCTCAAACCTAAAACCAAAGCCCTCAAACCTGAACTCAAGCTCTGAGGCCTAAGCCCAAAGCCCTGAACCCCAAACCCACAGCCCCGAAACCGAAACAGGTTGCATTTCCAGGGTCACCCTTTCCCCTCACACGGTGAATTCAGGCTTTGAGATTCATGGGGGGTCAGAGATTCGGTGCTATTCTTGGTGCAGGCGTGCTCATTTGGGCATATCAGAGAATTTTCAACTTTTGGGCCTTATATATGTGGTCTATCTTGGAGAGGTTGAGCCGGTTGAGCTTCTTGATGCCTGGTTGTTGAAGAAGAGAGAGAGAGAGAGAGAGAGAGACAAGTCTTGAGTGGGTTTAGGGTGCAGGCTTTGGGGTTTACGGTTGAGTGGGGGTTGGTTATATATAGGGTGTAGGTGGTTTGGTTTTGGGTAGCGGGTTTAACTCCCCGCACAAGAAAGAGTTTCAGGAGGATCGTTTTTCGACAGCCCAAGACAATCCCTCGGACTTGTAACCTTGAGGTTGAGGGTGCCGGAAACCTGGGGACCTCAATAGGGTTTAGGGTTTAGGGTTTAGGGTCCCTTCGAGCTTTGAGTTTAAACCCATATACTTGTCGAGCCCAAAGCCGTTCCTTTTCATTTCCTTATTGGGATTTCGGATAAAGAGAACCTTACACCAGACCCCGCTATTAGAAGTCCGACATACTTTTTCCGTAGGATTTCGTATCCTTAAATCCCTAGCCTAGACCTGTTTGGAAAGGCTCCTCCTGCTCCGACGTTGGCAAGTCCAAAGCCTGACGGCCCGTAGATGGTTGTTAGGATTTTAGGGTTTAGGGCTCTAGGGTTTAAGGTTTAGGGTTTTGGGGGTTATAGAGTGCTAGGGTTTTAGAGTTTTAGGGTTTTAGGGTTTAGGGTTTTAGGACTTGGGGTTGAGGTCTCAACGTTCAGGTGAGGGACTCCGGCTTAGGGTTGCGAGTTTGGGGCTTATGGAGTGTACCTTGACCTACCAGAATCTACTTGTTGTGGGGTCCCTGTAATTTCCACTTTTAGGGTTTGTAATCAGAACCTACAGGTTTCAAGGGTTTAACCAGTCGGGACACGGACCTAGGGTTTAGGGTTTACGGGTTCTACAGGATTTAGGGCTAGTCGTCTAGAGTCATTCTCTGCTTGCTCGGAGTTGGAAAACCTGAGCAGTGGTGCTGGCAGATTTCCAAGAAATCTGTGCAGCGTTACGGGATGCATCGATCACTGGACAGTACACCTCGCCACCAGCATGGGGAATATAGCTGCGATGCATCCATTCATCCTGGTCTTCTTTTTCGGGATCGCGCACCCTGCATGTGGCATGTGTTGGTTGATGGCTTTCGATCTGCTGTAAAGGGCTGGGAGTTGATGTTTCAATGGGTTTGGAGCCGTAGTTGATGGCATTTGCTTTGTGGGGGGTCGAACTTTTCGGGCCGAGCCCGGCAGGAGGGCTTGAGGTTGGACAAAGCTTGATCTTTAGGATCTCTTTGAACTTTAGGGTGTAGGGTCTAGGGTCATGGGGATTACATGAACCGGTAGATATGACAGTCTTTGATCCTGTGCCCTGGATGTCCAATGCACCTTCCCGAACATGAGAGGCTCGAAATAGTGTGTGTATGTTGTTTTTAATATGGGGTCTTATGGGCTCGTACAGGAAGTTATTGCCGCTCGCAATAGAGTTAGTTCTGGTATAGCCTCACCGCTGCTTGTTGGAATGATTTGTGATATACAAAACCCTTTTCTGAGATACCTACACACCTGAGACCCATGCAATCACTGTGCAGGTTTCAATTTCGAAGGAAGACCCGGTAGCATATCAGCTAGGTATCGATTTGGGATATCTGTTAATTTCTCGTAGTGCTTCTTAAGATCCCTAATTATACATAATTCTGTGGAGTGTCGAAATCTACGCCCAGTTAAGGTAATTACATGTGGTTATCAGTCGGGTGTGTCTGCACTATTCAACTTTTCGCTCACAGCTCAGGGCATGTGCTCCAAAGATGTACAACGTATTCAGAGTTTAGGGATTTAGGGTTTGGGGTTCTTTATAGCTGTTCTAGACTCGGGCGCGACTTCCGACTCAGACCACATTTAGTGTACACCAGCAAGCGAAGTTCAGAAGGAATACCGGCTGCGCTTTCCGCACCGACAGGAAGGCAGTTTCCTCATCGAAGCCCCGCAACCGTGCATGCATATATGGTCTTAAATATTCGCCTACATATTCATGCATATCATGTCATCATGTGTAAGCATACATGACCCAAAATCTGTATGTTTGTGTTTACGTATGCCGTAGACTGCTTTCGAATTACCGCAGTCCCTTCTTCGAACCAGTCACGAAAAGGTTTGCCCGGCTCTCCTTCGGAGCCAATTCTGCTTGTTTGTAGGGAATACTGAATACTGTAAGGGGCAGCAAAGGACTATCATACTGTTGATGACAAAAATCCTGCATTAGCTTAAGGACCCTAAACTATGCGAATGATGGTCTATTCCCTATCATGGATAATGCAGGATTTATATCATCAACCGTAGGGATCCGTTCCCCCATTCCCTATTGAGAACCAGGGAGTCGCTCGGAGGCCTTTCTGTTTGTTTGCTGAGAGATTATTCGTGGGGTGTTCCGTCAGAGACGATCCCACGTCAGTGCCGAGCTCTCATTACGACAGTGCGGCAGCAAAACGGGGCTCAGAGACTAAGGCTTGCGGTCTTGAAGTTTCGGTTGGAGTTCTGGGTGGGTTAGGGGTTTAAGGCTTGGAGTTCGGTTTTGAACTTAAGGCTTGGTTGGAGTTTGGGGTGCATGGCTACTTGGACCAGACGAGACGGCGTAGAGGCGTAGAACACCGGAGGTAGCGAATCCCACAACGATAGTGCATGTTGACTTCCTTTCTAGTAGCGGAGGTATGGCTCCGTGTGGATGCGGAAAAACACTGATGCAACTGTGGCTTCTGTTGTAACGTCCAGCTTAGACAGTACTCCAAGGCCAAAGCAACCCCCTGTATTTTGAAACCCTATAGAGACCCGAGGCTTTGTAAAGCCCTCAAACATATGAAGCTCTGAAACTCGTAAACTCTAAATCACTAAACTTGTGCCGCACTGCAGACCCCGGACCAAACAAATGATGTTCATGAGCCCGCAGGAGGTCCACCAAGCCGCACCGGGTGTCACGATGCGTGTCATCCAGCCGGCTGTCTATATGCTCGTTCAGGCACATGGTTACCCCAAGTCCTAGAAGCCCTATAAGCCGAAACCCGGAACCCGAAACTGCAAATCCTAAACCCTGAACCTTCAACCATGAGTGTGAAGACGATCCGAATTCTTGAAGCTTGTACGTCCTAAACGAAGCACTTGGTGGCAGGTTGGGAGACCGTTTAGGCTTCCTGTATGGCCTTGTAGAGATACCTGTTCATGACTTGTTTTTGGGGCCCTGGAAGTACAAGTTCAGGCTCTTGTGTCCGTTGTTTAATGCTTGCTTTGTGGGTTTTGGGTTTTGTGTATTATAGGAATCTCCAATGTCATTGCCTAGCGGTAATTAGTGAGCTTGCTTAAAGCTTCAACCTCACTCTTCGAGCATTCTACACCCTAGATCCTGAACCCCGAATGAACTCGAAAGCCCATGAAGCACCGAAATTTCGGCGATTGTTGTTGACAGAGCGGGCATCGCACCCGTTATATAACGATGTAAGGAACAGTTGCTTAGTTGAAGCTTTCGTGAGCCTTAAGGAAACCAAACACAAACCACCGGCCCAGAGCCCTAAACCCTGCACGTCTCGCAAGCCCTAATTAAACCCTAGACACCCTAAATCCTTTAGCCCTAAACCCTATAGAAGCCAAGAAAATGCCCTAACATGTATAAACTGCCTAAACCTTAAATCCCTAAACCCTAAACCTTGAAACCTTAAACCCTAATCCCTAAAAGCCCTGAACACTAAAACCATAGCCCTGAGCCCTAAACCCCAAGTTCTCGAGGAGCTAGCGCGAGCTGCCCTAATCCTATTCCTTATACCGTAGTATAATACAGGGGCCTAAATCAGTCCCAACACTATTTTTTGGACACTATTTTGGTAGTTCCTTATTAGAATTATAGTATGTTGGGCCCCCAAACCCTATTCTAGATATTGAGACCCCTATTTTACCCGATTAAGGCCTCCATGTTAGCGCCGACACCCCCGAGAGCAAACCCCAAAGCCTACGCTCTCACCCCGTAAAACACTTGTGGGGCTCTTTTCACAAGCTTAAAGGAACTTTAAGCCTCATTTAGGGCTTAGGTTAGAGTTTAGGGTTTAGGGTTATTGATGGTACCCTTTGAAGAGGCCTGCACCCGGAGCCCTGAACCTCCACATTTCAAGTTCTCCGCAGGCACGAGTTGTCCAAGTCGCGTGCGGAGCCCCAGAGCAGCAAAGAACGTGGAAGATTTCTTAGCCTCTTCTGAGTTTCGGGTTTAGGGGTTTTGGGGTTGTTTACGGTTTAGGGTTTCTGTTTAGCCTGTTTCGGGTCTTTAGGTTTTAGGCGTTTGCAGATTGCAGGGGGGATGTGGTAGCGGTTTTTGTTCATAGTTCTGGTCTTACCTTAACCAGAACCTGCTTTTTGTAGGGTCCCTATAAGTCTTCGATTAGGGTGTATAATAAATACGATAGTTGCATACGGGTCTTGTGGATTGAAGTCATGGGGTTCCGAGCTCGGGGTTGAGAGGCCGGGTTCTGCAGGGGTTTCTGTATAGGTTTCGCGTTGCGGGTTAGTTACAAGTGTGTAACGGCATGTTCGTGCGTGTCTCCTGCTTTCAGGGTTGCGCAATGTGCTCCATTCCGATATTCTTTGTCAGCCTTATGACCCTTGTTAGCACGTTTGGCTGCGCCTTTGGGCATCCTGGTCCAAAAGTCTCGTAATACACCAGAGTGAAGCTATCGACAGTGTTTAGGGTGGAGGGTTTGGGGTTCAGGGTTCAGGGGTTTGGGTTAGGAAGCATGCAGCAGGTATCCGATGTCTCGCGAGATGTCCTTCCTCGGCTACCATCCCATGGCATATCCCGTCTATGCAGCCTGGCAACTGAGAAAGACTACCTGGACCCTAAGAGACTTGCAATTTTGGGGTTCCTGACTGTGAGTTCCTTACAGAACGTCCATAAACGGTAGGTTAGTTGGGGTTTGGTGTTTAGGGTGCGGTTTGCCAGGACTAGGCAGCATTGTTTTCTGCAATTCTTCGCAACTAGGTCCTTACTATTCCAAGTTGATACTAGGGTTCCCTTCAAAATTAACACCACACCCCAGACCCTCCTTATTGCTGAAGCGGCGGACAGGGGCTAAGTGACAAGCAGGATCATGGATCGGTTCAGGACCTTACGTAATCACAATGAAAATATTACATCTGTATACTTTTATGTTATATATATATATATATATATATATGTTATACATATATACCCTGGTATAGCATGTCTAGCAACCCTATACCAAGTACCAGCACTCCGCTGTTCTGCTGTCTTGGGTTAGGTATGGCTTTGGGATGTCAGGGTTGCTTACCCTTGGTTAGTAGGGAATGGAAGAATGGTAGTAGTAGTAGTTATCACTATACCCCATTCCTCGATTCCTCCATGCCCTACTAGCCAAAGTTAAGGTTAAGTGTATCAAATCTTAGGTTGGGGTTGACAGGTCGGGGCGGATCTGGATCCTCCTCAAAGTCAGGGACCCCAAGAAGGACATAGCCTTACCTTATTGGGCTTCATTATACGGGGTTAATATGTGATGTCCCTATCAGTATTTTGGTTTCTGTGCTGATTTTTGGGACCCTACAAAGGACTTCGGTAGAGGTTTGAAGTCAATTTGGCGTTGAAACATCAACCCCGGGACTGCTACGATTCAACCCAACGAATCCTCAACCCAAACAGCCGGAAGCAGGACAGGCATCAAACGCGCATTCTACGATACGCCGTCTTAAATCTCATGGGCGTATCTGGCAGAAGAACACCCCGACCGGTGGCCACTCGCTGTATCCATGACCGAAGGAGGCATGGGCATGTGGGCTCCCCAGTAGTAGGGATTGGTTAACATAGGGTTAATAGCTTATAAGGCTTAAGACTTCCGGATACCTTTACGTGTCCATGTTGTGGTGGAGAAAGGTACCATAAACTACTTGTCAGAGCTTACTGGGGAGCCTTCTGGATTTCAATGACAGCATAGCACAGATACTGATTTCCTTTCACACTAGCGCTTAAGAGCGATGCCTATGAGCACGCTGGAGTTGCATGTCTGGCTCGTGCCGCAAAAGATCGAATACGAGGGACGCGCTGAGGCCCTGCCGTAACGCTAAACGCTCCACTCAAAACCGAAAACCCAAAGCCACTCCCTTTATTGCAGCCTGCACCTGGGGATGATTCGGGATCCAAGGATGCTATACTGTAACGGAAGGGGTTCGACGATAATCAGGGTCTGAGCTTATAGGGTTCAGGGTTTAGGGCCACTGTTTGGTAGAGCCCTCCATATTTTTTTTAAATCGCGTGCGCATTGGGACCTCGCACTGGAGCAGGGGGAAGGAAAAAGGTATGTGCACCAATCAAGTAAGATTCCTCAAGGAAGAAGAGACGGTGGCAAGAGCTTCAGACAAGGTCAGGACCTAAACCCTTAACCCCTAAACCCTAAACCGTTAAATCCCTAAACCTTAAACTCTTAACCCTTAAACCCTAAACCCTAAACCACATGCCGCCCGAAACCCGAACCTCTTATCAGCCTTGAACCCTCGATCATAGACTGGATATCTGTGATCTCAGCTTGCGTGAGAAGGTCCAGGACCCCAGGGTTCAATCGAGAGATTCGGGGTATGAGGCATGTAGAGTCTCCAGGGTTTAAGTATGTGTCATTGGTGCCTTTTTCCTATTCGGCTTATGAGACCTTGCCCTGAGACTTCGGGTCTGCGTGTTCCCTTGTAAGCCCTAAACCCTGAACAGGCCTACATCCCAAGACATTTCTACCCGGACCAAAGAGCTTCTATCCTAAGCCTGAACTTACACCTAAACTCTTATCAGCCCTATACCGGAGTTTCCGAAAATTAGGGGTACCTTATTTTGGGGTCCTCATCATAAGGATCCTACTATTTAGGGTGCTATGATAGGGTCCTCTATTTTCGAAATGAAATTCCTATACATCCCTATACCCAACAGAAAGCTCCCCGAGCCATGGCTCCGTCGACCACCCTACGGGCTGCGGCGAAATCGCACGAATCCCAGCATCGACCGAACCTCCAGGAGTCTTGAATCATCTTGGGCTTCATATATAGAATCCTATAAGGTAATCCCAAAAAGGAACTACTGTGGAGCCTCTGGGTAAGAAGGGTTTCTGGAAGCGCTTGGAGCACGCATACACAGGGATTTCGGCTGAGTTCAGGGGAGGTTTAGAAGTTTGGGGCCTAGGTTTCAAACATTATGCCCATTAGTTCCGGTGTTGCCAATTTGGACTGTTTGTTGCGGTTTTCCTTACGTGCTTTCATTTTGGGGTTGCTGAATCGTGTTAAGTTTGGGTGTAAGAGTCCCTTTGTTTGAGGAGCTGATGTTGGCTCAGGGGCATGCATATTTCGGGTTCCAAGGGTTCCAGCCGAAGCTGCTTCGGGTTTAGGGGTTAAGGCTAAGGGATTCACCCTAAACGCTACGAAGCGTAAGCTTTGACTTCGAGTTCGAAGCCCGATTCGGCAAACCTATCCTCCCGTGTTCGGAGCCCCAAACCGTACACGTTTAATTACATCGGGGGCTTGAAGCCCTAACAACCTTAAACCTACGTGTGGAGCTTCGGCTATGATCACGAAGCCGAGTACTTTCGTCTGGATTTGAAGACCAAGGCTATAGGTCTTAAACCCACAAGCCCGACCGATCCAGCATCATCTAGGTATACCTTCACCCCAAATAACCTACCTTTTAGGGCTCCTTAGTATGATTTCCTTATACCCTTAAAAGGGTAGGCTACTTGGGGTTAAGGTATACCTTGCTCCGCCCCAGGCGTATCTTCAAGACGGATGTCAGGATCGAGCGTGGGATTTCTGATGGATGGAGTTGTCGAATTCAGAGCTCTATGTGGGTTGAGATGTTGAGGGCTCCTATAGGGGCCTCAATAATTATTACCTATACTATATTGAGGGGTTCCTTATTACAAGTATAGTATACTGGGCCCCAAAACCCTATTCTAATTATTAAGGCCCCTACATTAGTGTTTCTCGGGCTTGGTACAGGCGGCTGTGTTTGGGGAGGATTGCAACCTAGACTTGCAGGTTTTGGAGCCTAATCAGGGCGTTCTTGGAGGCATCGATTAAGTAGAGCTGCCATACGTTGTAGGTGTTTACATACATACATATAAACAATTACACGGATTACACGAATAAACCTAGGTACATAAAAATCGGCATAGATGTACGTATATATATATATATATATATAGGTATATATATATATATATACACATACGTTTTACTTATACAGATCTACCAAATCGCCAGTTTGTATTCTATATGTAATCACATATATACCACACTACCAAACAGTAAGTGCTTATCCAATGTGTAAATACATAGTTACAATTGTAAGTACACACATAAGCATATACAGATTTGCACGCCTGACATATGCAAACCTGCATATATATATATATATACATGGTGTACATATGTACACACATATACACAACATCTATGCATCTGCATGTGTGCATAGGTTGCCACGGCAAATTCCCTGAGCGGACAGGACCTGCCCGTATCGCGTGAAATGGGAGGTGTTGGCCTCAGAGCCGTTAAATGTGGGTTTTGTGTTTGAGAGTTTCGGTTTACAGTCTATTTCGTTCTGGTGCATGTGGGAACCTTAGAAGCTTAGAACTGTTGGTAGTGCAATCATTAGCGAAAAGGCCCGGGTGCCCAGTGTAGCAGACAGTCATTCTGAAGATGCAGAACCCCGCAGAATCAAGCCACCAGGTTTCCACACCAGCAGCCTCTAAACTCTACGCTGTATGATTAAAGCTTAATTCTCTGAAACTGCCACATCGTTAACCCGAACCCTCAACTTCTGTTCGGGAGGAGATGAGCTTGAAAGGGTTTAGGGTTTAGGGTTTAGGGTGTAGGGTTTGAGAGGATCAAGGTTCACATAGGTTTTAATTAACAAGGCATCCGATATAGATCCCTGATTGACAAGGCCGCTTTCGGGTATTTTGGCGCCGAAAGTGCGGGCGTTCGTGGCTTGAGGCATATCCAGATGGTGATGATGTCAGATAGTAGTGGGCTGGTTCAGGGTTCTGGGGGCGGACATCCTCTGCCGAGAGGCGTTTCCAAAGAAAGCCTGAAACCTTAATCCCTAAAGGTTCAAGACTTTAGCCTCAAGCCTTCTGAATCTTGAAGCCTGAACCCTACCCTAGCTTGAAGACCTGTCACTTTCGACGCCGACGGCTGGGCTTGAGGTGACAAGTAGTTCAGGGTTAAGAGTTTATAAGTAGTTTAGGGTTCAGGGTTAGGGTTTAAAGCCCAAAAGATTCTTCAAGTTTGCTTCCACTCTAAAATATCAGGAGAACCGAAGTTTCAAGGCAGGGCAAGACTGCAAACAGCCACAGGCCCTGAGCAAGAAATTCTTCGTCCCGGTATGGTGGTTAGGACTTGGGACTTAGGTTTTAGGGTTTCGGGGATTTCTGCTGCCATTTTTTCCGCCTTTGGCATCCAGCAGAGATGACTTACAGCTACAGAGGGCGTGGCCTGGTACTGCCTGGCCTTCTGCTGCTTTGCGCCGCATCTTCCCTGACGTTTGTGTGGCTTGGCGCAAGCATGAAGCAGGCTCCCATAGTGTTCGGAAGCGTCAGTATTCTGCTGGCTGTGAGGGAAAAGATGTTGACCACGGAATTCCATCGACAGCTTGATAGCTTTGCACCTTCAGAAGCATCAATCAATTGCCACCTTGCAACGTTTTGAACGGTGTGCTCTTGTTCTGGGTCTTGACGTGTCGGGGGGGTGTCTGTTACAGAGGTTCTGGCCACGTGCGAAACCCGAAGCCCCAGCACCGACGTAACGTCCGAATCGACAGTCTGAATTTGGGGCACCTGTCTGCAATGTAGTGTCGTAGTGTCGGAAGATTGCCAATACGTACTGTTCTTTACAACAGGGTTCTTATTGTTGAGACTCATGTTGTAGCAGAATATCCCACACAACCCGGTTCTGTTTTCCAGCGCTAGCCACACGAATACAGAAACGCATACCGGTAGAACATGTTTGAACCATGACCAAGTCCCTGCTCCGTTTGAATGACAGAAGCAACTGGGAGGTTGAACTAAACCATTACACCACAGCATGCCTCAACGCCCCTTTCGAACTATTATAGTTCTATACTACGGTTGATGATATCAATCCTGCGTGACCTTAAGGACCCTTAACTATGGGAGTTATGGTATATTCCTTATTATGGATAATGCAGGATGTGTATATATATATATATATATATATATATATATATATATCATCAACAGTACAAGGACAAGCCCGGCAAGAATAAGCGCCGTACATCGGGTTCTGCCTTCGAGAGAACTGAGCGGTATCCTTCGGTGAACCACCTCAAGGGTTTACTCTGGGGCCCTTTTTTAGGGGTTCTATAGGAATGTTGGTGTATGTGGTTTAGGAGTTTAGGAACCAGGGCTTAAGGTTAGTTTAGAAGCCTACCCAACTAATTGCCAACATTATTCCTTAGGGTTCCTTATTGTGCTTCCTATGCTATAACATACCCCGGCACACCCTATCCTAATTCTCAAACCAAGAATTCCCTAACCCCGAAACCCCAGCTCAAATTCTCGAACCCTCAAAGCCTTTGCCAAGCAAAGCCGCTTTCGACCTGCCTTACCCAAACATGTCCCTAGGCCCTTATGTAAACGGATATCCCTACCTTATTGGGCTTCATCATACAAGGGTTTATATGGGATATCCCTGTCCCTATTTTTCCTTGTGTGTTTTTCGGAGGCCCCTAAAGAACCTACCCATTTTGGGGGCCTTCTCATTGTAGTTTCCTGACAAAGCAAGTTATGTGGGTTATGCGGGGTCAGAGTAGACCGTAACACCCCCAGACATCCCGCTAAGCAGGTGTAGAAGGCTACCCTAACAAGACTTAATTAAAGGGCTACGTGTATACTACGACTACGATTATATTTATGGGTTTGCCCTGATGCTAAGTGCCAATCAAAACCCGTATGGCCCGGAGCCACAAACTCATCTCAAGTCCCTGATACTCTAAACCTGGTCCAACACCCTAGCACCCAACTGAACCAGACACCGAAACGAGGTACGTTCTGAACGAGAAGACTCCCAAAAGCACCGCCCACCCGATTTCTTAAGATGTAGGGCTTAAAGGGAGCCCTCAACCTTTGTTGCAATAGACGTTCTTGTTGGGCTGTAGAGTCTGTATACGGGATCTAGAAAAGGGTCCGCAGGAATAGGAGCCCCTGAATTGTAGACCTGTCTACGTAACTAAGGTCCCTCTAGTAAATCCTAAATCCCTCTAAAGGAGTCCCTAAAGCCCAATTCTAACTGTTAAGGCCCCAACTTGTACCGTTCCAGGTGCAGCTCTCATTTCAGCTGCGGCTCTCGCTGGCCGCAAGCTAAGTCCGGCAGCGATTGGACACGGTTCCGCACTCTGGCCTGGCAGAGACCCATGAAGGAATTAAAGGACCGGGCAGGGTTCAGGGTCAAAGGTTCAGGGCTTACCTTAACCCTGAAGAACCTACTTTTTAGGGGTCTTTATTATGCGTTCCTTATGCAAGTCCTTGAAAAAGGTAGGTTATTCCGGGTTAAGGTAGGGTTTAGGGGTTTACGGTTCAGGGTTTAAGGGTTCAGAGATTGGGTGGCAGAAAGGAGGTTGGGTTTTCGGTGTAGCAACTGTGGCAGTGCTTCACTCAAGCCCTAAACTCCTCCAGGTTTTGAATTTTTTTGTACCCGAAAACCTAAACTCCAAGTGGGTGGGATGCAAGAGGTCTCGGCTGGAGGCTTTCAGTCGTCTTGGGCCGCGGATATTGCCGTAACTTTTGGAGCTCCTCTCTTAGGATTTAGGGATTCGGGTTTAGGGGTTTCTGGGTTGAGGGGTTTAGTTCTTGAAAGTGAGAGTTCTCGACGAACTTAGGCCTGACCTTACTAGCCTTATTATAACTATAGCATATGGGGACCCAAAACCCTATTCTGATTATCAAAGCCCGTCTTACAAAGACCCTAATATAGGGGCCTTAATAATTACCTGTACTATCTTGGGGGTTCCTTATTGTAATTATAGTATAATGGGCACCAACACCCTATTCTCATATGAAATCTCCCTGTAGTATGCCGGTTCTTCGGTTCCATGTTACCTCAAATGCAGCCTCAAGCAACTTCCGTGACACCCACACCCAGCAGACCCTAAGCCGTGAACACTGCTTTAATAGAGGAGGCTCGAGGAAGCACGAGCCTACAAAAGGGTTTGGGCCGTTTACTTAAATCAGGTTCCCAGGTTAACAGAGAAGCTCTCCGCAGAGAGAATACCATGCTTCCAGTTAGAGCTCCCCCCACATTCCGACTAACAATCACAACCCTGACCTACAGTACATTGATAATTAAGTAAAACCCACAAGTCTAAACCTCAGCATCCTACGGCCTGCGACCCGCAAACCCGCAACCCACAAACCTAGACCCGAGACCTGAACCCAGCACCGCACAGAACCAATATAGATCAGACAAAAACTTTCATAGAAACCCTGGAACCCGAAAAACATAAATCGCAAACTTTTAAACCGTAACCCCTAAACCCCAAACTTTGAACAGCAAGCGCCAAGCGCACATCAAGCATGCGATGCGCGAGGATCCCTACGAGATCCTGGGGGTGGACCCCGGGAGCACGGAGGAGGAGTCCGTGTGGTTTCTCGAAGTTAAACGGCTCCCTTCCGAGGTGTCAAGTTTAGGGGTCTAGGGGTTTAGGTAAGGGTTTGGGGTTTAGGCTTTAGGGTTTGGGGCTCAGGGTTTAGGTTTAGGGTTTGGGGATCAGCTTTAGGGGTTAGGGATCAGCGCAGTCTGTGTTCTCCTAGTGCTTCTTAGCGCTTCTTTGCTGCTGGGAGAGCAGCTGGCGGCACCCGAGCACACTGCTATGCCTTTGTTTCTGCTACTTCCACATGCGTTGTAGCGCAGTTATTTCTTTGTTTGTGCTACTTCCACACGCGTTGTAGCTTCTCTGAGTGTCAGTGATGCATTGCAATATCGAGGGATCCTAGCATGTAGGGCTTCTGCAGGGGATAGTGCAATACAGTGGTCTAGGGATGGGGCCGGCCTGGGCAACAACGTTGAAGATGTTGCTTTCAGCATTCCATAGCGTTCCTGATTTTACTGTTAAGGGGCCTAATTAACGAGTAGAATAAGGTTTTGGGGCTTCCCCATTAATACCACTACAGTAGAACATCCCCCCCCTCCGCCCAGACCCTATTCTTTTCATCCAGACCCCTCTGCTAAATTCTTATAGTAACCCATAATCAGTAAGCCTTCTTGCGGCCCTCCATAAGAGCCCTTTCATAGGAATCCTATTCTGATGATTTAGGCCCGTATGTCTTACACTCGAACAACCTGCTGCAGGAGATTCGGGCAGCTTATCGCGCCCGTGCACGCGTGGACCACCCGGACATCAGCGATGCTGAGGATGCCCAAGAGCAGCTGGGCCTTGTACATTCGACAGCAGGGGGTTGTGTGGGGCCCTACAAACAAGTAAGCTATGGGTGCGTCAAGGTGTTGTCTGAATGTTTGCAGATGCGGGGCTTTGCACTAACCCTAAACCCTGATCCCTAAACTCCCTGAACCCTAAACCCCTGAGCCCGAAAACGCTGTACTCTGGATGTCGAATCTTCGGCTTCATGGGAGTTTCCGAAAATTAGAGGTACGCTAGGGTTCCTTTAAAGGGTTACCATAAAGGGTACTATAAGGGTTCCTTCAAAGGGCTCTATAAGGGTTTAGGGATTGGAGTTTCCGACAAGTAGAGGTACGGGGTCCTTCTAATAAGGACCCTACTATTTAGGGTACACAATTGGGGTCCCCTGTTTTCAGAAACTCCCATATCTTTAGGGTGTAGGGCTTACCAAGACGCCATAAAACCTTCCGTTTTGGGGTTCTTCATTGTGATCTCCAAAAAGTCCTACAAGTTGTAGTTTATGGGGGTTGAGGTAGGGTTTAAGGTTGTCGGGCTTAGGTTTTGGGAGTACAGGTTTCAAACTTTCGGCTTTCAGGGTTAGTCGAATTTAGGGTTAGCCGAAATCGCGCACGAAGTGCACCAAAGCTGAGCTGTTCTAAATCGCGCAGCCCCTAACCCCTATACCGCGGTTAAGGTCTGGGGCTTAGGATTTGAAACTCTTCAGCCGTTTGCGGCTTCAGAAATCAGCAGCAGATGGGATGGCGAAGAAGTCAGTCTTGGAGAGTATTTGTTTTGAGTAGGAAAGCCTGAAGCCACCGTACAGTTCAGTGAACACTGAGCAATTTCATTCCTTAAAGTGAGTGTACTTACACCACAAATTTGTGGTAGGTTATAAACCGCAGACATTGCCTTATCCCAAATCTGCATTAAAACCGTACAACCATGCATTTAAGATGTTTTTTAAGCCGTAAACCCCAAACCTTGAACTCTAACCCTGAAGCCCTGAACACTGAACCCTCAACACTCAACCCTTCTACCTGAAACCCGAAGCCCCCTGGAACCCTGAGTTCTGATTTTTGAACCCTAAACCCTAAACACAGCATGCTATAACTTACCCTAAGCAATCTGAAACCCTTGGTTCTGATTTTAGCCTCAGCCCGGGCCAAGGCGGTGGATGGAGATCTCTGAAGCCTACAAGTCGCTAACGGATCTGCGCCTTCATTACCCAAAGGGTCCAAGGTACATATATAGTAGATTCTAGGGTTTCCATAATAGGAATTACTATGATGACTTAGGGAAGTATTCCCCGTATCAGTGCATAGGACCATTTGGGTTGGACAGTCTAGGGTTTAGGGTTTACAGTAGAAGTCCAAAAGTTGGAAACCCCATAGCCCATAGCTTCAATCCTTAAGAGTAATGCGTATAGGGAATCCCAGCACTATTTGGCCTCAATCCGGTTTCCAACTTAATGGGGTTTACTGTAGGGGGGGGGGATCCTTTAAAGGGATCCATAGGGGTTGCTAACGGTGCATAGGAGTAGTTCTCCAAAATCAGGGTCCTTCTTGAGGTCCCCAGCATAGTAGACGGAACCCTAAGTTAGTCAAGTGCCCAAAAGCAATGGGCAGGTTTCGGGGTGTTGGTTTAGGCCCTCGGTTTTGGGGTTCATGATGGATTTCGGGATTAGGCTTCGGGTTTGCAAGTTTGGGCTTCGGGAGTGTTAAGGCTGTGTGGCGCTTGTTAGGTTTCATAGGCCCATAGGCGGTACTCCGGCTTAGAGTGTATTGTTGTGACCCTACCAACGAGCAGGGCACTCTAAACCACGGCTCTTTGGACTTGCTGTCCAGCTTGTTTGCCTGGGCCTCAACGTGAGTGCAACAGAGGCAGGCACCTGGACTCCAAATACAAAAGCATGAAAACTCAACAATACTCTTCCCTCGGATTGCATAGTTATGATTATGCATGGTATAACGTATACAAAAAATGGAGCTCGAATCCCTTAGCGTAGGTATTTTCATGGAGAAGGGACCCTTTCTTCGAATTCATCAGGCCCCCTATAATACATATTCCACGCAGCTCGCGGCCTCCTAGCCGAAATCCTCAGCACTTGCAATTTTGCAAACCCCACTGCTCATGCTCTCAACAGGTACTGACGTAAACCCAGAGCCATGCCCAAAGGATCCTAAGTAATTACCTTCGTAGCCGAAAGTATAGGGTTTCTATAGTAGGAATCATTGTTACGGTTTGGGCAAGTATCCCCCGTATAGGTACTTAGGATCCTTTTTTGGGGGCTTCAACGGGTACTGACGTAAACCAGAGCTATAGCCCTTCGCAGAGTACGGCTCACGAAAAACAACCATGCGTGGCAAGACGGAGGAAACACAATCACACAATCTGAACCCTAGAAGCCCTACTCAGCCCCAAGCAAGTAGCACGATTCGGACAGTGTGACCAAGACTCTCAAGGATCCGCGGCTGCAGCGAAAGCAGCGTCAGAAATCCGCCGGCCAAGTTAGCATCTACCGTGGCGAGGAGTTGTCGTTGCCTTGGGGCGAAGGGAGGGGGGGGGTGAGGCAGACGGGGTGATCAGAGACAGTCGTTTCGTGTAGGGAGATAGGTGACCTTGTAGCCTTGCTTGATACAAACTCCACACATCATGGAATAAATCTGGTAGACCCCTATAAACCCTAGCAGGTGAGCAGGAACCTAGGCTATCCTTTAAACAGAAACTTCTTGACCCTGCGAGAGCCTGATAGTGAGATGTTAGGAGCCCTACCTATACGAATCCTATTGGACATTTTTGAGAACCCTCATCGGGCCAACACCCACACCCTGATCCCCAAGCAACTAAGCCTCTGAACCCCAAACCATGAGCCTTCAAACCGTGGACCCCAAGCCCGAAACCTTCCGCCCTAAATCCTGAAGCCCTAGACAGTATAATATACCCTAAACCACGTTAGGACCCTTTGCTGGCCCTTCTTCTAGGAACCGAAGCCGCAGGAGCGAGTGCAAGACGACACGGCGCTCAGGGAGCAATTTTTCCAAGCCCTGGGCAGCCCGACTTGAGGGTTTCCGAAAATACGGGGTACCTTGTTTTGGGGTCCTTAGAAAAAGGATCCTTCTATTTAGGGTACTATATTGGGTCCCCTTTTTGCGGAAAATACCGACTTGAGGGTTTCGTAGTTTAGGAGCCTAAATAATTACATATCCCTTTTTTTTTTTTTTTTTGGGGGGGGGTCCTTTATTATAGTATAATTAGTAGGGGGGTTCTTTATTATAGTATAGCTAGTAGTATGACGGGCCCCAAAACCCTATTCTAGCTATTGAGGCCCCTATATTAGGCTCTTGCAGAATTTTGGTTTGGACTGTATTGGGTGCTGCGGGGTGTGAGGGGGTGCTATGGAATCTTAGGGCTGTTCAGGCAACCAGATTGAAAAGTTTGAAGAGGGGTATACCACTTGCAAGTCTTGCAGAGCGAAAGCTAAGTGACTAAGTGGCACCAAGAAGGAACCAAAGAGAAACTAGCAGACGGAAGACATGTACAGAAAGAGGCACAGAGCATATTAGAGGAAGAGGACATCAAAGATTTGAAAAACATTGAAAAGATGAGAGAGTTGTGTAAACACGACATAAAGAAATGCGAAGATTCCCAAGATGAAAATCCCAAACCCACTGGAAAACTTGAAACGACTAGAAGATATTGCGCCAGAAAAACCAGCGGAACCATAGGAATCAAGCGTACGCAAGACATTTGCCTCATTAGATGCAGCAAGGTATCAATGATCACTTGATAATGAGACCGGAGCATGATTGAAGAAACAACCACTGCCCCATACTGTGACGCAGAAATTGAATAAAGCCAGCTTCGCCTGTTTGGGACGTTGGCCTACGCTAAGTTCTACATGGTACAACATGGTTGTGCTACCGGTGCTGCAGTTGAGATGTATTGGGCTAATATAGGGGCCTAAGCATTTACCAATACTATTGTCGGGTCGGCGTGCCTTGTTATGCTTGTTAAGGCCTCAATTTTGTGGTGCGGCAAAGGTGATGTAATTGCCCAATCTGGGCCAGTCTTTCCCTAACAAGAGGCCTGAAGCCCTCCCCACCAATCAGGGAGCTCCGAAACCCTAAACTCTAAATCCCAGACCCTAAACCCCTAAACAACAAAGCCTTAAAGCCCGAAGACCCTGAGCCCTAAACCACCCAAAAAGAAGCCGCCTGAGAAACCGAAGGCATGATGACTGATGACCAGAAGTCCTCCTTGGAGATGACCTTGGAGGAACCTTTGGGCCGAGGGTCAAGTGGGTGATCAACCCCTGCCTAAGATTTGGGGGTTCCTTTAAGGACTCCGTGGCATCTCCAACCCATGTCAACCCTCTCCCAAACCAAAACTCATCTAACCCTTAAACACCCTTCTATAACCCTAAACTAGCCAGAAGACCCCATAGAGCCCTTGTAAGCCCCATGAAGGCCCAGCTAAGTCCCTATACAGCCCTTTCAAAATCCCCACATTCATCAGCAAGGCCCTTGTGAAGCTACATACCCCCGAAGTTTCAAAGCCGTTATGTAAGGCCGCTTTGAGGATACCCGACCCTAAACCCGATACCTTAAATTCCATTCACTGCACCTACACACCCGAAAGCCGGTTTGAAGATCCTGTGCTAGTATCCTATACTTCCCGGCTTTAAGTAAGGGGCCGTATGATACCTTCTAGCACCCTTTAAGGGGACCCTAAACCCCTGAACCTTAAACCCTAAACTTGGAAGATTTGCCTTAGCACCCTTTAGGGGGACCCTAAACCCCAAACTCCTACACTAGAGCCCTAAGGGGACCTATACCTTCTAGTAGCCTTTTTAGGGGACCCTCGCTGATGACCTCCCGGGGAGGACCTGAAGAAGCCGAAGCTCAGCCGCCGCAGCGAAGCTGCGGAGATCGCCAGGGCTAAGGCCAATGCCGAGGAGAGGGCGGTTTCTATTCTTGTTATTTTGGGTTCCTTTAAGGGGTTTAGGGTTTAGGGTTTTATTGTTTCTATTCTTGTTTTTTTAGTGTTTAGGGTTTAGGGGTTTAGGGCTTAGGGTATTTTGGGCTCCTTTATAAGGATTTAGGGCTTACGGTTTCGAGGGCTTGGGGTTTAGGGCTTAGGGAGGATTTTGCAGGGTGTTCTAAGTTTTAAGATGGTTTTGCGCTATAAGGACTCTACAAGCAAGGGGTGTTCGAATCCTTGTTTCCTTTATGTGCTGCTGTCAGGGTTGGTTTTTCGGACGTCGTGCTCCCAAGACCTAAACCTCGAAACCCGGTTTTAGGCTTAAGGGTTTGGGGATTAGTCGAAGTCTGAAGAAAACCATAGTATGAAGGCCCCCACGACCCTGTTCTACTTGCTCAGGCCTTTGTATTGACTCCTAAGGCGGTCCAACCGCTGCACCCTAAACCGTAGACTCGCTAACATACAACATGATTACCCGCAAAAGCCAGTTTAGATCTGAAGTCATTTCTGGAACCACGGCTTTCTATGCTAGTTACTGGCTGAACAGGGTTCGTTTGGAGAGGAAAGACTTTTCGAACAAGTGTATCAAAACCTGCGATTGCTAAACCCCGACACCCGAATCAGCTTTAAGTTGCAGACGGTAGGTCTCGTCCCTTAACCTCATGGCCCTCAGCCTTAGCCGTAGACTGCACGGATAGCCATACACAGTTGGTGTTTTGGCCCTACACCCAAAACCCTAAACCTGCACCCTAAAACGTAAACCCAAGCATTACACTGCGCAGGAGGCCAACGTCGTGTACAGCCGACCCAGAATTCAGAGTTCTGGTCGATCCGCCTAGGGTTCAGGTCTTAGATAGTGACCGGGCGAACTTTAAACTTTTCGGCTTTATATAATAGCTCTATCTCAGAAAGTTTGAACTTTTTGGGCCCGGTTGTTGAAGAAGAGAGAGGTGCCAGGACATAGCTGGACCCTAGAGAAGCTATGTTTTCGTGGTTCCTTAGTTAGTATGGTTTCATGATGTAAGTCCTTAAAAAGGTAGGTCATTCAGGGTCCAGGTATATAGGGCCTTAGGGTTGTTTAGTTTGGATCCAGGGTATATCGCTACGGTAGAGGGTCATTTACTTGGGATTTACTGTACATGGCTTGGGGTTTAGGGTTACCTAGTTCAGGATTTACGGCTTGTGGCTTAGAGTTTGGGATTCGTTTAGGGTTCAGGGTTCAGGGCCTAGGCTCAGGAAGCTTTCGACGTAACCTGCAACAAAATGTCAACGGGTGCAGATCTGCAGCGATGTTTAAGCATGTCGAAGTCCTGAACCCTGAGGGCGTTCATGGAGAGCCCACTACCCCTTAGCTGAGAAGTCTACCTTCTGTGATAAGGGGGCTTCATACTAGTTATGATGTATATAAGGTATATCAAGGGGTATAAGGGGGGGGGCGTTCGTATCATAATAAGATGTATATTCCTCAACTAAGGGGCATTGGGCTCTCTAAGTTTATTCCGCGCCTTTGCTGAGACCCTCTGCAGAGTCCGGCCCTTAGCCCACGTGGGCCGGGTCGTTGCAACATGCAGAAAAAAGGGAGAGGTTTAGGACCTTTAGGATGCAGAGTTTAAGGGTTTGGAGTTTAGGGTCTATAAGAGGGCTTAGAGTTTAGGGTCTATAAAAGAGGGGCTTAGAGTTTAGGGTCGATAAGACGGGCTTAGAGTTTAGGATGTAGAAGAAGAAGGGGGAAGCGCAATTCCAAATTTAGGGGCCCTTCCAATAAGTATGCTACTATACAGACTTTCGTATTGTGCATAGGAATGGCTTGGTCTGAGGATCCAACTAGAGGGTTTATCAGTCTTAATATCTAGGATCCTACTACGTAGGCGCTATCTAGGATAAGTCTACAAAAGTTATGTGCGGATCCTACCAAGGGAGGCTCGAGGTTTCAAGGGAGGGTGCAGATACCGATGGCAAGACATCGTCTTTCTGCGGAGTACATGCTATAATGGTGGCAGGTAAGGGCAAACAATATAATATACATGGACAGTAAGATCGATAGGCAGATACAGAGAAAGTTAGGTAGGTAGATAGTTAGATAGGTTAGGTGGCTATATATATATATATGTATGTATACACGGACACATACATACATCCATGTGTCTGTGTGTGTGTTATCTTTGAGCAAATCCCATTAATCCGCCAACAGCCTTCGAAGCCTTTCAGACTTGAACCCAAGTAGATCCGAGTAAGGAACCCTCTGACCAAATAGCCCTTCCATGGGGACTGGGTTGTTATTAAGGAGCTTCGTTTAAGTGAATCGCCACATCCGGGATCTCAGCTAAACTCCTGAGCCCGAACCTCTAGAAATCCATGTACTCTAGACTCTAGACCTCAAACCCGAAACTCAACCCTATAATTAAACCAGAAAGAAGCCATTGCGCTTCAACAAAACCCAAACCCCGTAAGCCTTAAACCTGAACACTAAACCCTAAGCCTAGTTCCTTAGTGACAGACGCTCGGAAACCTGAACCCTCAACCTAAATCCGGAACCCCAAACCCTAAACCCTGAGCCCTGAACCCTTAGCCCCAAATCCCTCCTATAAACCCTGAGCCTGAACACTAAAACCTAAGCGTAATTCCTTCAGTAACAGAAGCTCGTACCCTAAACCTACACCCTATAAACCCTATAAACCCGATAAACCCTATAAACCCTAAACCCTGAACCCTGAACCTTTGACCCCAAATCCCTGAAAACAGAAGCTCGGAGCAGCTTCAGCAGGTCCTTCGGGCTCCCGCGGGCGTTGAGCCTGAGGCGCTTTGGTCGCCTGGGCCCCGCAATGTTTGCGGCTTTCGCTTTGGTTTAGGGCTTGGGGTGTTTAGGGTTTTGGTTTTAGGGTTTGGGGGGTTTAGGGTTTAGGGTTTTGGTGTAGTTCAGGGTTAGGGTTAAGGGTTTGTGTGCTTGGTTTTGCTTTGGTAATTCGGGCGTGTTAATCGTGCTTTTTCGTCTGGGTTTTCTGGGCTTGTGCAGGATTCGTGGGGTTTGATAGGCTCAGGCTTTAATGATCGTGACGTAGCGCTTAGGTGTCTAGAAGGACTCCTAAGATGAGGCCTGCCTGAGGGCCCAAAGTGCCCAGCACTTAGGGTTCTATCGGGGTGGGTAGTGAAATCAAAGGGGAAAAGGAGGGACCCTTAATGGGGACGCCTACCCTATAGTGGGCTATAAATAAAAGAAGGTATATAATAGCTATATTAAGGGTATAAACCTAGGGGTCCTTATTAAGGGTCCCTCCTTTTACCCTTTCCAAGAAGGATGTGGCAAGGCTTTGGAGGGTCTCCATGGGATGTTGTTGTGATTTCGAGGGACAACCAGGTAGCCGCATTGAGAGGGATACGCATCGGTCAGTACTGTGGGTGAGTGATTGGCTCTTAAGTACATGGACCCTTAAGATAAGGCTTGTGGTAGTTTGGTGGTTTGGGGTTCACCTAGGAATAAGGGGCAATTTACAATTTGGTTGTGGAGGGTTGAACTGTATCTTCGGATCAGGCGGTTTGAGTGTTTTCTGATATTTCAGGCGCTTTCGGTTTGGTGTTGAGGTTTAAGGCTCGGTTACGGTGTTGGGTGCCGTTAGATATGTCGAGTGCAATCCGGCGATCGTAGAGACTCCAATATCCCTTAATTAAGGAATATTCCTCAAATCATATTAGGGATCCTACTATAATTTAAGGAATATTCCTTAAATCATATTCGGGATCCTACTATAATTCAAGGAATATTCCTTAACTAAGGGATATTGGGCTCTCTGGGATGATGTAAGCCCCGCGGAAGAAGGGTCAACCTTGAACTCCGTGATGACGAGCACGCGATGAGATCCAAAGTGCCTACACTGCCAGGACCCCCCAATGGCCCTTTAGTGGAGCCCTGATGGCCCTTGATAGTGGGTATTTGGGGCATAATAGAAGGTAGTTGGGGGGTGGTTACACCCCCAGAACCTAACTTGGAGGTTCTGGGGACTTAGTAACTAGAGTTATAAATAAGGTAACTATACTTACACTTAGTTATAACCCCAGTTAAGGTACTTATAACTCGACTTACTAAGTCCCATGAACCTCCAAGAAAGCCCAAACCAGCCCAAAGCGCGGCCGAGTTTGCGCCTCGCAGCTCGCGACACAGCAGGGCCGGAATCTGGCACCGGCCACTTCCTCAGCCTGGGTGATCCATCACCAAGGGTCCATGTACGCACCTAGGGTTTCTGTAAGGGGTGCGATTAGAAGGTTCTATATAAGGCCTCCTTAACGGCTTTATGGTTTAAGAGTCCATGTGCCCACAGGGTTTCTGGGCTCCTTTTACAGGTTCTATATAAGGGCTCTTCAACTTTAAGGGCTTCAGGGTTTAAGAACCCATGTGCCCAAACAGTACATACTTTGGCCTGAAAGTCGTCCCTCAAAAGTACTTTGGGCACATGGAGCCGCAGGGAATAGGTTTATGAAGTACCAACCTATATTATGCTATTTTGAGGGTCCCACCCTTCGACCAGGGGGCCAGAACTTTCCACTGTGTAAGGTTTGGGAAGTTGGGGGTCCATGGCAGAAGCGGCCTCGCGTAAACCTTCTTATTGAATCCCCTTTCTCTCGCGCATCTTTCCACGTCTTAATCTAAGGGGCTAAATAATTACCAACTATTTGGGGAGGGTTCCGTATTATAATCATGGTATAATGGGCCCCAAAACCCTATTCTAACTAGTGAGGCCACTATGTACATGGCTCTTGAGGAGCACTGCGAGGGAGTGTGGAGGCTTGCTTAGCTTCGCAGCTGTCGCCGTGGACATGATTCATGCTTAGTATAGCGACTCACTGCTTTTCCGGGGAAGGTCTCAAGGGGTTGAAGACGTGAAACGCTTAAAACAGTAGCTTTTGGCTAACAGGCTCCCAGTCATATGCGACGGTGAATACGTCCCGAAGAAACTCTTGTGTGTCAAGAACCCTGGGATGAGCATACGTGGCATTCGGTGGCAAAATGCCACGACCATGGCTGGCGTTGCGTTTTGCCTTGGCAGTCTTGGTCTTTTCAGTGGGATGATTTACTTTCAAGTCACCACCTGCCCTTTCAGGACCTGCCTCCTGATCCAGGGGGAGAAAACCTTCGAGTTATCGTATAACGGCGGGGAGTCTGGCTATGGTGGTCCGGTTTGGTATGCGCCTGCCGGAACGGACCCAAGTAAGGGCCTTTGCGCAGCAGCTGAGCTTCCAGAAGCTGGAAGGTCCGTATGGCAATGAAACCTGCATTTTTTCCCCAAGCGGAGGGGAGCAGCGGTTTGGGTTGGCCCGAGTGGGTTCCTTCCGATGTGACTCTGAATTCCACAACACAGAATATAAGATCCCACTTCATCGCTTCGTCAGCAGCATCGACATACCGACAATCTTACGCGACAAGACTTTCAGAGCTTTCGGGAAAGCATCATGAAACTTTGGGGTCCAGGTAGCCGAGAAGGCTGCGTTACTGAAACTATTAGGTGCACTGTGGTGGGCATTAGCGAAAGCTGGCTGAGTTTTTCCGATCCAGCCCAAAAACGTGATATGAGATCCCCCTAAACAAACGAAACCCCAACCCCCCCATCCTCAAAGCCTTTCACCCCCGAACCTCCAAACCCTAAACCTTTACAACAAGACCGCACAAAAATGAGGCTTCATCGCCTGCGGCTTGCGTGCTGCGGCCAGAGCTGTGGAGCGGAAAGAGGACGGAATTAAGCCTAGCAGGATCTGCCAGTACCCCCCAAGTGACCTTTGGTCCTTAATAACGGTGGGTTTTGAGGGTCTGGGTGACGGGCTAACAAAGGAGCCCTTAGAATTAGAACGGGATTTCGAGGTTCGTTATAGGTAGTGATGTAGGCATGATGTAGGGATTGCTTATCCGGGAATTGGGATCCATCGGTGCAGGGTTTAGGGCTTTTGCGTTTGGGTTTTAGTGTTTAGGGTTGGGGGTTCCGGTTTAGGGTGGAAGCGTATAAAGTGCATTAATAGAGTGTAAAGTATATGCTTGGGCGTTTAAGGGGCTCGTAGCGGACGATAGCTGTTGGGTTCCCATCTGTGTAAAACTTAACACAAAAATCTGTACATGCGCCTGCAATGACAACGGGATTTAGCATTTCGGGTTTGAAGTTCAGAGTCGAGGGTATGGGGCATGGGTAGAAGGTTTAAGGTTTAGGACGTCGAGTTTGGGATTCAGACCCTGAGGATTTCAACTGACGACGAGCGCCTGTCATTTCAGCTCGCCCTTAACCTGCAAACCCCAGAGCCAAATGTAAACTAGTTGGTTATGACATCTCAATGATATGGTATATCCTTTAGAAAGGTAGATTTTTGGATGCCAGGAAAGGCCTTAGGCAACCCCCAAGGAAAAAGCTCGATTGCCCACCCTCACCGACATCTACAGGAAAACGAAGTATGGCAAATGTCCCGACACTCTAACGGCTCAAAATAGCCCAAATGCCTTCCGTAGCATGGTCTTTGGGCTGAAAATATGGGTCCTTAGAGCCAAAGAGTAGCGTGTGAACTTGAAACCGACACCCCTGAACCCTGAACCCCACAAGCCGGACCAAAGTAGGCTGCAGAGTTTTGACCCGCTTTCGGATGTCCGAATCGTCTCAGCCCCTCAGCCTAAATCCAACACCCAGCATCCCGCAAGAGACTTGAAGATAAGATATAGGGCTTCAGGGCACAATCTGCGCAGCTGGATTTTCCTTCAACCCGATGGACCCTAAGGCCCTGAACCGTGAACCCCAAAATTTGAACTCGAAACCCTGAGGCCCTAACAGCGAACACCCAAAACCCTAAACTCTGAACTCCAAACCCTAAAAATCCCTCAACCCTAAACTCTCAACCTTAAGCCCTATCGGCCCTATAAACCGTGAGCCCTAAACCCTTGACCAGCCGAAGCCGGGCGACTGAATGCAATGCCGGAGGCATGGGTCGTCTTCGTGTGCACCGAGGGTGTGCCTTCCGCGTTGCGCCCAAAAGGGGTGGGTGGGTGCTTATGGTTTAGGTTGTTTGGTACCAGGGTTTATGACTTCAGGGTTTGGAGCTTTGCAGCTCGGGGTTTGGGGTTCGCAGCGCCTTAGACCTCCATGGGGAGATGCACGTCGATGATTGGTGGCTGGAAGCTCTGTGCAGTCTCAGTGCTGAGGACACTTCGAGCATTGAGGTTTGCGTTTGAGGTTTCATGTGGACAGGTGTGGCAGCAATAGAGCTCTCATAGCCGACTGGCAAAGGTCGGTTTGTGGTCCAGTTTTGAGCGATTGAGGATTTGATCATGCGAAACACCAAACTAAACCGGGAGACAATGTCTGTCCTATACCTCCCAAACCTACCCGAACCCCGAACAGTTTCAGGGTTTGCTGGTCAGAGCTTGCAGCTTGACATACGGTTTAGGGTTTTCGATTTCAACCTCGAAGACTCCTGCATAGCTCCCTCCGCTGAGGCCTTAATGCAGCACTTGCCGCTGCTTTGTGCTTTGCAGCAAGTCCCAGTCGCCCACGGCTCAGCAGTGACTCAGCAGGGCCCAGTGTGATCGATTTCTTGAGAAAGTGTCGAAAGTGTCTACAAAGGATTGCGGTTTGGGGCACTGCTTGAACAAAAGCTCGCTACTGGTGCTAATTGTTTGCAAGACTGTAGCTGCAAACGCTGGGCCGCCATAGCTGCTGAGCGCAGGGAAGTGTGTCGCATGCTGGACAAGATGGATGGAATGTTTCTATGACAGATCGGGCTAAACGCCTCCGTGATCTTGGTGGATATCCGGGGATAGGTCTGCTGCATCGGGGTTTACGTCCAGTGCCCCGCTGCCTATTCCAAAGACAGCGCCACAGATTTTCGAACTAGGCTTTAGAGGGATTCAATTTTTCAGGCTAACTTTCGGGCTTGGGCATTTCTACCTTGAGCTAAACAGCTAAACACGATATAAGCCTAAATCCTATAAGCCTTAACCTAAACTCCAAACCCTATAAGCCTTAACCTAAGCCCTAAACTCTGTAAGCCCTAGCCCCACTGCCCGAAAGTACAGAAAGAAGAGTTCGAGACAAAGGACCTTTAGGCTAGCTCGGAGCTCGAGTTTGAGGTTCAGGCTTCGTGGGGGTTTGGGATATTAGGATTTAGGGTTTAGGGTTTAGGGGTTTAGGGGTTTAGGGTTCTTGGGGTCATATGGTTTAGGGTTCATAGGCCTCTTGGGTGCTTGGATTTAAGGGGTCAAGGCGATTTGGAAAGGGCTTATGGAAATTAACATGTAGCTCAAGATCGATCCTACAATTAGGCAGGGGTTTCTTTTTAAGTCAGCCCCCTTCGTTTTCTGAAATTTCTGTACTATCATCATTCTTGCATTGATAGCAGCTTGCAGTGTGCCCGGTTTAGGGATGTTTTTTTGTTTCCATGCTGGTTGGCTAAGCACCCTCGAATTAAAGGGCACAGCGCAGGCAAGCAGAGAGTTTAGCTAGACCCTTGCGTAGCACTTCCTTCTGCATTGTTTTGATGACCTTGCTTTGCCAGTAAATTTGGTTGTAAACCTTAAATTTAGCCCTATACACCTCCATAGACCCTAAAAGCCCTACATAATCTTTAAGCACCCTAGACTCCAAACCACCAAAGTTCATAAACCGCAGAAGCTCAACAGCAAACAGAAACCCCAAACCTAATCCTAAACCAGAAATCATAAAATCGTAAAATCTCACTCTCATCAGCTCTAAAACTCCGATAGGACTCCCTACATCCTAAACCCTATAAACCCTAAACCCTGTAAACCCTTAACCCTTATGAAGTTGCTATCTCAATACAAATTCACCCAGTTCTAAAAACCGGATAGCACTCTAAAGGCTCAGAAAGTTGCTGAGGCGCTGAGCCAAACCCTATAAACCCTAAACCCTATAAACCCTAAACCCTATAAACCCTAAACCCTATAAACCCTAAACCCTATAAACCCTAAACCCTATACGTAAGTCCTAAACCCTTTAAACCCTAAACCCTATGAACCCTAAACCCTTTCAAAGTTGCTGAGGCGGTGGTGGCAGCCACAACCGAGGCCTTGGGGAGCGCCGTGGCCCCGCTCTGGCCAGGGCGAAGGCCGGCGCCCGCGCCCAGGGCTTTGTGGGTTTTGGGTGTTTTTTGTGGGGCTTAGGGTTTGTAGGTTTTAGGGTTTCGGGTTTCAGGGGTTTGGGGTTTAGGGTCTAGTTGTGGGCTTTGGCGTGCTTTGTTTTGGGGTTTTAGCGCGTAGGGTTTCTAGGGTTTTTGGGGTGACTTTTGTGTTGTATATAGGGTGGGCGTTATTATGAGTGCTTTCTAAAGGGCTTTGGGTAAAGCTCGAGGGCTTTGGTGGGTTAGCAGGTTGGGGGTTCAGATTCGGAGTTCAGACGAGTCTGGGGCTTGATCCGGTTTCCATCTTTTCAGGCTTCTGCCTTGAGATTTGGCACGGAGTGTGCGGCTTGATTTGCGGTGCGTTGAAAATCTGATTTCACGTTTCACGATATGCAATCCTCGACCCTAAACCCTAAAGCCCTAAACCCTCTCCTTGCCGCCGTTGAATCTGAAAGTTAAGCCTGACTCGAAGGTGCCACATCCGTGAACAGCATGGTCCTTTGGCCAGAGACCCAAGCCTTACAAGCCCTTCCTGTAGCCCCCAAGCCACTTTCCTTTCAAGGACGAAAATCAGGAAATCAGAGAGCAGATCCTTCTGGGTCCATACGGTGAGCTTTAATGATCATGTTGGCCGGCTAAAACTTGCATTCTCGTACTTTGCATGAAGTCTTAAGCCCCAAGAGTGCAGCTAGAAGGGGCTTGAATGGGTGACTTCACCGCCAAGTTGGTGAGAATGGTTTCGGTTGTTCTTTAGGTCTTGGGCCGTCCTGCCTTTCTGAGACTTTCAGAGGCTTCAGAACGTCCACAACAAAGGGCGTAGTCTAGCCCGGGCCCTACTTGAAGCTTTCTGTCGTCGCTGTCTCTTTCAGGTTCTGCACATGTTCCCTATCCTGTTTACCGTGCTTGCTGTGTGGAGTTGCTTCTATCTTATGTACAGCGGTTGCTGTGTGGCTTGGCCCCTATCCGCTTACAGCGGTTGCTGTGTGGCTTTGCCCTTATCCTGTTTGCAGCGCTTGCTGTGTGGCTCGGCTTTTTTGCTGTCTGCAGCGCAAACGCTTGCTGTGTGGTTTTGGTTCCATCTTATGTACAGCGGTTGCTGTGTGACATTGCCCCAATCCTGTTTGCAGCGCTTGCTTCTACTACAGCTTCCTGAACTGAACAATCCACACTCCCAACTCGAACACCTTGAGACCGAATGACATAGCAGGTCTACCTGAAGCAGAACCCTAAACCGGGACCTGGAGCCTTAAGCTACCCAGAGAGCATCAAGCATGAGCGCCCCCTGAAAAGCCAAGCCCCAGCCCTTCGGGGCTTTAGCAGCCGTGTCTCGAACGCCGCCGTTGCGCTCATCGTCGTCCAGCTCTAAGACGGGGAAAGGTTTTGGCCTAAGCTCCTCAAAAACCCCCAAAAACCAAAACCAAAACCTCCCTAAACCTTAAATAAATAAACAAATAAATATATATATATATATATATATATATATATATATATAGAGAGACACATGTACATACATGTAGCTGGTTATACAGTACACGTACACACATGCATACATACAGTAAGCTCCAAAAAGTTGAAGCATCTCCTAAGTCCTTCATACTAAAGAAAAGGGAAATCCAGCACTAATCACCCTAAATCAATGTTCCAACTTTCTCGCACTGGAAAGGATTATGTCGATTTTTGTGGATGTGCATCTGCTGAGTGGCAAGAGTGCCACTGTTGAAGTGGACGCAGATGCATCTGTGACGTCATTGAAGAACCGAGCCCAGAGCGCGTTGGTCACTGGTAGAGGGAGGCTGCTGAATTCCTCTGGAGAGGTCCTTGATCTGGGAAAAACGATCAAGGAAGCGAAGTTGGTGAGTGGAGACGGGCTCACTCTACACGAGAACCAAATCCAGCTACAAGCCACCAGGCTAGGCGAAGTCGCTGCCACTGCGTTCGCCGCACTGCTGGGTGATGGATCTGTGGTCACGTGGGGCGACGCCCGCTTTGGAGGCGATAGAAGTATGGTGCAGGATCAGCTGCGAGATGTGCGGCAGATCCAAGCTTCCAGTGGTGCATTTGCTGCGATCCTTGGAAATGGATTTGTGGTCACTTGGGGTCACCCCCGCTGTGGTGGCGACAGCACCAAGGTACAGGATCAGCTGCGAGATGTGAAGCACATCCAAGCTTGTCGCTGTGCATTTGCTGCAATCCTGGTTGGTGGATCTGTCGTCGCTTGGGGTTTCGAGTGCGGCGGCGGCGATCACCATGCAGTACAGGATAAGTTGCGAGATGTGCAGCAGATTCAAGCTACTGATAATGCATTTGCTGCAATCCTCGGCGATGGATCTGTGGTCACTTGGGGTAGCCCCTACTATGGCGGCGATAGCCGTGCCGTGCAGCATCAGCTGCGAGAGGTGCAGCAAATTCAAGCTTCGTCTGGTGCATTTGCTGCAATCCTGGGGAATGGATTTGTGGTCACCTGGGGTAGCCCCTACTATGGCGGCGATAGCCGTGCCGTGCAGCATCAGCTGCGAGATGTGAAGCAGATTCAAGCTTCGTCTGGTGCATTTGCTGCAATCCTGGGGAATGGATCTGTGGTCACCTGGGGTAGCTTGCGCTGTGGCGGCGACAGCAGCAAGGTACAGGACCAGCTGCGAGATGTGCAGCATATTCAAGCTTCTGGTTATGCATTTGCTGCAATCCTGGGTGATGGATCTGTGGTCACTTGGGATCGTAACGACTGTGGTGGCAATAGCAGTGCGGTACAGGGCCAGCTGCGAGATGTGCAGCAGATTCAAGCTTCTCTTGGTGCATTTGCTGCAATCCTGGGTGATGGATCTGTGGTCACTTGGGGTCGTTCCGAGTCTGGTGGCGATAGCAGTTCGGTACAGGGTCAGCTGCGAGATGTGCAGCATATTCAAGCTGCTGGTTTTGCATTTGCTGCAATCCTGGGTGATGGATCTGTGGTCACTTGGGGTCGTTCCGACTCTGGTGGCGACAGCAGTGCGGTACAAGATCAACTCAGAGCATGTGCGCAAGCAATGCACTGAGTTGCCTTGTGTACCGATGGCGCTCAATCTCATGGAAAAAGCACCGCATAATTGATTCCTAGTGGTTGTCCTCGCAGAGAGCATATGCATAAAGCCTCTTATCTCGAGGTAGGATTTCTTCACGCAGTAGCCTAGACGTGGTTGCAATGTTACATCAAGCAGACCATTCCGACTTTCCAGGTTGTAGATAAGTCGCTCGACCAAGGGTCTTTCCTACGGCACAGCTAACAGTGAGCCCCCAGCCAGAACCAGAGCAGAACAACCTAAACCCTACATAAACCCTAAAACCCCAAACCATAAACCTGAGCAAGCGAGTTTCCGGTGCTTCTGCCAGGAAATCCAACCTCGACCAAACCGTGGCTAGAACCTCAGCACAGTTGCTGGTTCAAGCAACTCTGTAGCAACATTCCCTAATAAAGTCGATTAATTCATACCAGTATGCCATCGGACGAAACCCAAGATACCACAAAAACCTCTTCGAGCGCGAGAATGGCCGAGCCCTTCGAGTGGTGTGTTGATGTTGAGGTCCCGCCACACTCTAAATCCTTGCATCTCTAAGCACTGTTACTCCCATAACTGAACCTAGCAAGCGCTACAGAGCTTGTCCATCTACGGTTCCCGTCTCCCCCAGCTGCTCAGCTCCAGATCGCCTTCAAGCCCTTTCAAGTCTGACATCCTTAAGGTTCGAAACCCCAAGCCCTAAGCTCTCAACCCTGCTCCCTTGAAGTCTTGGGCCATAGGGTTTAGCGAAACTGATGCTGCAAACTCACAGCCCTACCAGCAGATGCGAAAGCCGGAAGCCGTAAGCAGGAAGCCAAGCTGAAAGTATACACTTTTTGGGGCTTCTCAACTCAGCAACTAAGTTTGCGAATGATATGGCGAAGTCTGTCGGGCAAGTGGTTTAGGGTGTAGGGTTTGTTTTGTTTTGGGAGCCTTTCTTCCACTGAAGAAGACGGAACGTCTCTGAACGAGACTTGTCTAAACGCTAGGGTTCTGCTCAAGGATTCCGCAGGAATTCCCTGCCAAAAGTCGGTCGTCACAAATGTTGATGGACAAAATCCTGCATTACCCATTATAAGGAATATACCATAGTTCCCATAGTTTAGAGTCCTTAGGGTCATGCAGGTTTTTGTCCATCAGCAGTACCAAAACACTGAAGTATGCAGATATCACCATAATCATCCTCATGACGGTCGTCGTTGTCGTCCTGCCTTCGTCGCCGCCATCGTTCACAGATTTTATATATTCAGGATCCTATCAGTAGCCACAAAAAGCAACTGTAACGGAGATTCTCGGTAGTCACTTGAGATGTGACTAGGACAAGGTTCTTAGGAGCAGTCTTCTGCCGAAACTCGCATGCAAGAATCCCAACGTCCATGAGTGCACATGGGCTGCCAAGTCATTCATGGATGACCTGACTTCGCAAGTTCGGATCCCACAGCACAGCGAGTAGTCTTTAACAGAGGACTGAAGTTTGGTCTGCAGTGTAGGGTTCCAACCGCATCCAAAAGGCCCGCAGCTCATCTACCGTGCTGTGCCCTGAACCCCTGCATCAACCCTAATACAACGTGAACCACGCAACAAGGAACCAAGCCTTCCGAACACCTTTATGAAGCTTATCGTTACAGTGAAATACCACATTTGCAAGACGCTTTTGAGATCCTTTCTAAGAATCCTTGCAAGAACCTTTCTGAAATCCCTGCAAGAACCCTGTTAAAGCCCTGAAGGCAGTTGCCTTGCTTCGGCGCTGCGAGGAAAGACCAAGGCTAGCAGAGCTCTGTCGTCAGCTGGAGGCGCCCCCTGAGAGGGGCTTTGGGGGCTCGCTGAGGGTTCAGGGTTCAGAGGTTGGGCTTTGGGGTTGTAGTGGGAATGAGTGTTGGTTTCCCGGGTTGTTGTTTTAGAGTTCAAGTTTACAGGCTTACGGTGAGTTTTAGAGGTTCGGAAATTCAGACTTTTGTTGACAGCTTCATTGTCGTCGTATATTTTTACAACGAGGTTGGAAAGCTTCTAGGCTTTAGGGACGCAGGTAGGTTCCTTAGGTTCCGGGCTGTAGGATGCGACCGACACCCCAACCTCCGTGCCCCTAGGCCCAAGCACAAGCGACTGCGGTAATATATGAAGCCGACGGAGAAGCTTGACACCTTGCTCCAAGTCATCGCCGACCCGCTCAAAAAGCAGATGAAGGAGAACGCGGCAAAGACAAAGAAGAGTGAGCACAAAGGAAGGATGTTCATCACTTTGAATGTACGCTTCAACGACGATACTTACAGCTTCAATGACTTTCGTGATTCTTCGCGCGTCTCCGCCATAAGGGACAGGGTCGGAGAAAGAGCTGGATTGAAGAAGGTTCAGTTCAAGCTCATCCAGCTCACTTATGCCAGTGGCGAGAAGATAGCAAACACAGCTATAATTAAGCAACAGCAAAATCAAGCTCAATGACACAATCGTTGCTACATTAGGCAGCACACCCGAGCCGCTGATGAGATTGTGTCGATTGATGAGACGAAGAAGCCCGTGAAGTCTGATGATCCTAAAGGTAGTGCTGAAAAGTAGATGTCTGTAAAACAGCCTGTAAAACAGCATTGCCATAGCAGTCGACCAAAAATATCTATGATGAAATAGTAACTTAAGGCTTTGTTCTTCTGTTTGGGGCCGTAGGGCTTCCTCAAGATAGGGTCTAGGTTTTAGATATTAGAGTATATCCCCCAAACTCGTTGTCTAAGTGTTCAAGCCTCAGAAGAGTGCCGCACTGCCAGAGCGAGTCTGATCTGACTAAATCACTGAGCCCTACAGAATTGCAATGAGTTAAAAACAGTATAAGAAAAGTCTAAATCTCAGAACAAGAGGCCTCAATCCCTGGTTCCTGGTCTCTGTATGGCCCTAAACCCCACGACTTCCAAAAGTGCCACGCAAGGGATCCCTTCCGCCAGTGCGCTTGCCGTTCCTGTTGCCTGCCCGGCTCCTCAGAGAGATTCCGGTTCTTAGGGCTGTTCAAAGTCTGAGGTGGCGTTTACAGGGTTTAGCATTGTCAGGATTTAGGAGCACATGAGATTTAGGGTTCAGGGGTTCAGGGTTCAGTCAGGGTTTTGGTTTAGGGATATCAGAGCTGTTGGGGCTTGTAGGCTCTTTCGCCACTGGGTGCGGTGGCATTGATCTGACACACGTTCAAATTGCTGGCTGCAGTTGTTTACACGGGAGCTTTCATATGTCGTCATGGCTTGTTTTATCAAGGACTACACTTGAAGCCGAAAATGTAGGGATCCTTTTTAGTGGTGAGGATTCAAGAGGTGTCTCCTCCGTAAGAAGCCCCGCATTTTCCCCAGGAGGTTCTCGTCGGTTAGGGTGGCTTTCAGATTTGGGGGCTTCAGTGGCCTCGTAGTTGAGGGTGGGTGCCATGGTTTCCCGAAGGGTCCCAAGTACCTGTATGAGGGAACTTACCCGGACCGTAGCAGCAATTCCTACTTTAACGCTTTTTTTGCCTCCTTCTATTATAGTACGGCAGCCTCGAATAATAGGAGTCGCCTGGGCCAGCGCTAGCCCGAAACCCTCAAGCTACAGACCTATACTGCATAGATCTTCAACCATACCTCCATTACTATATGTTGAACCTGTTGCAGAACCCTTGACCCTGAGCCCAAACCCTAAACCTTCCCAAAGGCTCCATGTACCCTTTTGGTAGGTACTCAGGCCTTAAAGTACCGATAGTGGGACCCCTTTAAGGCCTAAACTTACTGCACGTTCACATGGACTCTTAGGGCTTGAACCCCAGACCTTGAACCTGCAAGACGACTCCAGGAAGGCGGTGCTAAGCTTTGGCGCCCTGCTCCGGCTGCAACGCTGGATGCGAAGGCGCGCCCCTTCTTTTCCTAAAGGGTCCAATTGCAACTAGGTTTAGGGTTGAGGATTCTGGGTGTATAGGGTTTCATTTTCGGGCTGGTAGGGTTCAGGGTTTGGGTATAGCAGCTACTTAGATATTTGGGCCCCCAGAGAATATCCTATGCTGTTACTGTATTTTGTGGAAGATGTAGCTAGTCACCTGCACCTACTGTCGTTCATTGGCTCAAGAAAATATGCGTCTGCATTCTGGCTGTTCTGCCTGTAAACATAGGTTATCAGCCGTAGGTCTCACTTCGTTTGTAGATCGCGATGGATGCTCCCGTAAATCCTGCAGGTATTCCCGCGATAGACATTTCCGCGGCTCGCGTCGATACCGAGGATCTCAGTTCTCTTCCTGCCATGTCCGTCCAAGACGATGGCACGGATCCGGCTGTCCCCGGTACCCGAGAGGGTGGCCAAGTTGTTCCTCTGACGGCAGAGGCCTTGGCCGTGATGGCCCAACCAGATCCCCGAAGAGGTGCACCAGGAGCGGTGTCAGAATGGGCATATGTCTCAAGCCCAGCGCACCAACTCGCATCCCTGGCGGGATCGCCTCAACAATATAATGCGGCCCAATATTCACCCAGCGAGATCAGAAACGTCGCGAACTACTATCAACAAAATGTCCTTGCGCCAACGGTGCAACAAGCAGTCCATGTGCATCAGGTAGACACAGGACCAGCCGTTGCAGCTGAAGCTGAAGCACGCCACAGATTGATCATGGCCGAAGCAAACAATTTGCATAGGGAGCAATTCAACCAGCTTCATGCACAGGCGCTATCCGGTGCTGCCCAACTTCGGTTGGAGTTTGCCCAAGCGGAGAGTCGTCTGCAACAGAAAGAAGAACTGCTTCGAGCAGCCGGCGAAAGCATGGCTAATAAGCACAGCGACGAGTTGTCGCAGATGCGACGTGAAGCCGTTGACTACAAGCTCAGGCTTCATCAGGCTGAGGTTACAGTCTCCGACGTTGTAGCCCAAGCTGAAAGAGAGCTGGCTAATCGAAGTCGGGCTAGCCAAGACACCGTTGCAGTCATGAATGGCGAACTAAGCCAACTCAAGTCTGAGATGGGTGCATTCATGCAAGTGCATCGCCAACAGGCTGAATCGATGACGAAGCTTGAGCGCACCAATGCCGAGCTTCGTGATCGCCTGGCGAAAGCCACGGCATATTCACCAACTGCCGTAGGAGATCAGTCTCCCATTGAACACCCTATTCATACCCCTCCGGGTCTGGGTAAAGTAGATGGTGGCCCGCCAGGTGGAGGTGGAGATGACTCGCCTCCCGAAAGCGACGGCGACGGGGATGAGCCCGATGACGATTCCCGTGACAAGAAGAAGAAAAAGAAAAAGGACAAAAAGAAGAAAAAGAAAAGAGACTCATCTGATTCATCATCATCGTCGTCTATCTCCCTATCTAAAAAGGACCTCCTGAAGATGTTCAAGAAAGTCGTTAAGTCGAAGAAAGACAAGGATGATGTCGAGGAAGCCGAGGCGACAAGGGGAAGGCCCAAGGTGAAGGAAGCTGAGAAGATTGTGTTTCCAAAGTTTCCCCAGCCAGAGAACTATCGTAACTGGAGGCTTCGCGCACGCGAGGCTGTGGTCGCCGCCTCTGACCGTCCCGATGAGGCTTTCGAGTGGCTCGGTGAAGTGTGGAAGGATGATACCACGGAAGAGTCCCTTCGTGATCCTAACGGTTTCACAACGCTTGATGCGAAGATCCTCTCGGCAATCACAAACATTCTGGAAGGTGATTTTGCTCGCCAGATTGACACTTTTAAAGAGAGGGAAGGACACGAAGGACGCTTAGTTCGTGGCCGACAGATTCTACATAAGCTCAACGCTTATTTGTCGACCAACGCACTCCACGGGTCTGTGTATGATATGGAGGATCTGCTCAACGTCGTCATGCTTAACGAAAATCTTGTGCAATTCGTGCGTAACTGGGATACTGTCCTCTCAGGCATGAAGAAAGCACCTGCTGACGATGTTTTGCAACCCTTGTTTCATAGACAGGTTAAGAAGTGTAAGCTTTTGGCGCACGACATAGCCATCTATGAAAGGGCAGTAGACGGCACACAGGAGAAATCCTATGAATATTTGTACAATGCCGTTAACCGAGTCATCAAGATCAAACGGCTTGAGCGCAACCGGGAACGGATTGCAAGGCAGGCCGCAGCAGGTATGCCATCGGCACCCGCACCGCTAAAGCGTGTGCCCAAAGGCTTCTGCATTGACTTTGTTCGGAACGGTTCGTGCAACAAAGAAAAATGTTCCTATAAGCATCAGATACCCGAGAAGCCACGTGGTAGGACACCAAGCAAAGGTAAAGGCCGAGGCAAGTCGCCCTCCGCAAGGGGGAGCCCATCTCCTGGGAAGATTAATGCTGAGTGCAAATTCTTCAAGCATGGTAAATGCAACAAGGGTGACAAGTGCCGTTTCATACACAAAGGCCAGCCTTCTGCTCCTGCCACTGGTAGCGGTAGAGAGTCTAGCGGCGAAAAGAAGAGTAAGAAACAGAAGAAAGAAAAGAAGCATAGGAAGAAGTCTCGCTCCAGCTCTAAAAGTTCCAAGGGTAGTGGAGGCTCCAAGGGGAGCAAAGGCTCTGGGAACAGCAAGGGCTCGGGGGGGCGGAAACCTAAGGCTTCGCTTCCGGCCGCCGTCTGCCTCTTAGGCGCACTTGTCGCAGGTTCGGCATCCCAAGCCGATGCACACGCTTTCCGGAAGGAAATGCCGAACTTCATTGACTCGTGTGCAAGCACCGCTCACGTTGCTCTGGCATCTGTGCGATTCTCGAATGCTCCTGAGTATCACTACATTCCCACGCCCCCTGAATCTTCCAAGTGGCGTGAGGTTGAAATCGAGCCGAGGGTTTTCAGTGAAGAATTTCCTGTTAACTACAAGCCCAAACCTGATGGGCAGGATGTTCGGGATGCTTTGGCGACAGCTAAAATGCTGAGGTCAACCGTTGAAGGTATGAACCAAGGTACGAATCCAGCATGTAAGTTCATGTGTAAGACTGAGTTCGGTTGTGCTCATTGCATTGCGCCCGGCATATCTGTCGGATGCCCAGCAAAGGGGAGCCGATCAGATCCTGTGATTGAAATGGAATGGATTGCCGACACTGGCAGTGCTCAGGATTTGATATCGAAAAACGTTCTCGGTGAAGTAAAGGATTTCTTGTCGGATCGGCCTATCAACATGATTACCGCCAACGGACCTAACTATGCTGACAAACAATGCAAGGTTAGGATTCCTTCGATCAATACGACCGCCGAACCATATGTTCTACCCGATTCACCATCCGTTCTCTCGGTTGGACAGAAGTGCATGGAGGAAGGGTTTGACTTTATCTGGAGAGCTAATTGTAGACCCTACTTCAGGGACCACAACGGGAACAAGGTTTATCTCGATGTGAAGGACAACGTTCCATACCTGAAGTCTTGGAAGGAAAATGTTGCGCTTCCCGCGCGACCACGTCCGGAGCCCAGCCTTCCTGCATCGCCGGTTGAGAAACCTGGCAAGTATGTTGAGGAGTCAGAGAGGATTGCAAAAGAGTTACTTGAGAACCTTGACTTCCAGTGTAAGTCTTGTCTGAAGCTACTGCAATCTATGAACTGCAAGCCCTCCAAGAGCAATCGTAAGTCAATTACAAATAACCAGAGTCGCACCGACGGAAACGTCGAGTACCTTGTGCTTGGCGCTTTCGCTCATGGCGGCGTCCAGGGCATTACTAATCGTACGCAGAAGTATGCCCATTCTACCCGATACATCAATGCATTCCTCCAGAATCATGGAATGACGGGAGATTGCTCATCGGTTTGCATCAATCACGGTTCGTCCGTTAAGGTTCACAAGGATGCTCACAACATGAAGGATTCCACCAATTTCACTATCAGTCTTGGCAGCTTCGAAGGTGGTGAACTTTGGATTCACGACCCCGCTGCCCGAAAGGGAGAGCACAATGTCATCACTCAGAAGGTAGGGTTGAAGACTTTGTATGGCAAGAAACGTGTCTCCCGCAACAAACTTGTGAAGTTCGATCCCAAACGTTTTCACTGTGTTCTTCCTTGGAAAGGGGATAGATGGAGCATTACCGCGTACGTCAATCGAGCTGTTCCCAAGCTTCAGAGCAATGAAATTGCCAAGCTTCGGAGTTATGGGTTCAATCTCTCTAAGCGTACTGCGATTCCTGCCCTCGCTCCCGATTCCGAGGATGAACGGCCGCTTGAGGACCTTGTAACACGGGGTTCTGCGGTAAGGCCTTCCGAGCCTAGGACCAAGCCTAAGGTCAAGATTAGGGAATCGGAGAAAAAGAAAGAAAAGAAACCTCCTAAGTCCGATGTTGCCGAAGATGCATCTAGCAAAGCCGCTGAAGAGTTCGACAAGCTCCTTGAAGGTCTTGAAAAATCAGGAGCAAAGCAAACTGCTGAGCTCAGTGAGCAAGAGCATCTCAGTCGCATGATCGATGAGTTCGGCTCGGACATCGAACCTGATGAACCGCCCAAGCCGGATCTTGGACGACCTCCTGACGGAGAGTCTAAGGTCCCAGATGGGGAGGGCAGTTCTGATCCCAAAGTTCTTAAGGGAATTGAAAAGCTTAAGAAGGAAGCTACTTCGTTGCATCATCTCATGACACACATCCCTAAGAATCCCTATTGTTCGGTATGCAATCAGGCTAAGATGTACAAGGCCCCGGGTTACAAGACCGATGGCTTTCGTTCCGTCGAAGCCACCAGCTTCGGTGATCACATTACCGCCGATCATGTGGTGATCTACAGGGACAATCATGAGGTCATTGAAGAAGCTAGATTAGCTCTCGTGATCAAGGATGTGGCGACTACATTCATGTATGCGTATCCTTCTGCGCTGAAAGATGAAATGGAGTGTAAGGCTGCACTTCAACATTTCGTTTCGAGTAAGGATAAGGTTGGTGTCTTCTACAGTGACAATGCCAAAGAGCTCGAACGTAGTGC